CAATATTCGGAAGTTGGTCGAGGCAAGGGTGGCCGCGCAGGAAAATTCCAGGGCAAGGCAACGAGCCAACGAGTGTCTGTATGATCGCTGGGTTATGGTGTATAAATGGGCGGTAGGGGATAAGGCGTGGCTGCACTGCCCGCAGGTGCCGCTGTCAACGTCATTGAAATTGCTGCAGCCCTGGCGGGGGCTGGTCGACATTGTTCGGGTCGTTCGGGACCAGTGTGTTAGGGTCGCGTGCGGACGGCGTTCTTGGTACGTGCACCCCTCGCGCCTGAAGCCCTATGTCGCACCACGCACTCACACACCTTCATCTCACAGGGGCCGGCCGCGTGATGTGTCCGGCAGGTTGGGGGAGGGGCCTCGTGATCCCCTTGTTGTTCCGAAATCCCCTGCCACTCTTTCGGATGCTGCAGGTGTGAGTCCACTTCCGGTGGCCTCACCAGAGGAGCGGGAAGCGAGCCGGCCGCCTGTCCAGCAGGAAGATGGCTCGCGGGCTTTGTCCCCGGGGCCTCGGGACGTGCCGGACGCCTGTCATCTGGCCCCTCCTGACCCTCCGCAAGGAACGCTGGCCTCTGGCGATGGACCCGCCACACGGACTCGTTCGAAGGGTCTCAGGTTCTCCTGAGACCTGTCGCAGATACACTGCCTCCTCGTGGGGCCTGGGTGTCCGAGTCACCTTGTTCGTTGGTGTGGTGTGTCTGCAGTGTTCTTGTGTACAGGGGGGTTGGGGTAAATTATTGGGGATAGTTGTGTTTGTTGTTCTGTTGTTGTTATTGTTGTGTTGAGGCTCACGCATTGTTCTTGTTGTGTTCAGAATTCCTGGTTCGCGAGTTAGGGTTGGGATGTGGATAGTGATGCAGCCGGGACGGCTGCGTGCTGTATAGGGGGGGGTGATGTGGTGGTCAAGGTTGACACCAAGGTTGACACAGGTCACACAGGTCACACAAACTAGGGGAGAGGTACGTACCGTTCTGGACCGGTCCGGACCGGCAGGGATGAGAGGTGGTTGGAACCGCTCTGAGGGGAGGGGGCTAGCGAGAGCCAGGGCCCCGAGACACCCCCGCCCCTCAGAGAGAGGGGATATAAGACGGCTCCCGGAGAGCGGAGGGGGTCCATCTCACCAGAAGCTGAAGGAGGTGTGGCCGGAGATCCTGGACCCCAAGCCTCGAGGATGCCGCCCCGCTGGGACTGAGTGGGCTGAGTAGCTGTAGGCTAGGGAAGGAGAGTAATTGAGTAGCTGTAGGCTAGGGAAGGAGAGTAATGAGAATAGAGCCGGAGGCTGTACCTCCCTAGGTTGTGTGGTTGGACTGTTCCCCCAGTGAGTCCGGAGGACTAGTGTTATTGGAATAAAAGCGTGTGGCCTCTACGACGTCTCTGTCTCATTCAAGAATACTACACTTCTATACACTACACTATACACTACACTATACACTACATTCACCTACTATACACTACACTATACACTACACTATACACTATTTACTTACTATACACTACACTATACACTACTATTCACCTACTATACACTACACTATACACTATACTATACACTACACTATACACTACTATTCACCTACTATACACTACACTATACACTACACTTTTATATACTACACTTCTATACACTACACTATACACTACAATAAACGCTACTATTCACATACTATACACTACACTATACACTACTATTCACCTACTATACACTACACTATACACTACACTATACACTACTATACACTACTATACACTACACCACTATACACTACACTACTATACACTACTATACACTACACTATTATACACGACACTACCATACACTACACTGCTATACACTACACTATACACTACACTATACACTACTATATACTACACTACTATACACTACACTACTATACACTACACTATACACTACACTACTATACATTACACTATACACTACACTATATACTACACTACAATACACTACACTATACAATACACTACACTACCATACACTACACTATACACTACACTATACTCTACTATACACTACACACTACACTATACACTACACTATACACTACACTATACACTACACTACTCTACACTACACACTACACTACTATACACTACACTATACACTACACTACTATACACTACACTATACACTACACTATACACTACACTACTATACACTACACTATACACTACACTATACACCACACTACTATACACTACACTATACACTACACTATATACTACACTACAATACACTACACTATACAATACACTACACTACCATACACTACACTATACACTACACTATACACTACACTATACACTACTATACACTACACACTACACTATACACTACACTATACACTACACTATACACTACACTACTCTACACTACACTACTATACACTACACTATACACTACACTACTATACACTACACTATACACTACACTATACACTACACTACTATACACTACACTATACACTACACTATACACCACACTACTATACACTACACTATACACTACACTATACACCACACTACTATACACTACACTAAACTTTATGCCTTGCAAATAGGTGTCTATTTGGGTGTTTGAACATCTGAACACAACTCCCGCGTCATTGCCAGAACAGGGTAAACACCGATTCTTGATTTTTTTTCTCACTCTTAACACTGCCACTAAAATGTCCCCGTAGATGAAACCCCCACCCCACGTGCTACACGACGTGGGGATGGGAGCGGGATTCCTCGCTCAGGAAGCGCGGCCACTGCTCGAGCCGAGTCCCCGCCGAGGGTTGAGTTTGTGTTGGCACAGCCCCCGGGCGAGAGGCATCGGGGCTCGCGGGGGGGAGCCAGGGTCGAGGGCGGGTGAATGCGCCGTCGCCGGGTTGGTTCGCGAGCATGAGAATGGTGGGGCTCTGCTGGGTGTCTCCTCTGTGAGACGTCCGCTGGCATCACCACCCATCACTACTCATCACTAATCATCACTACCCATCACTACCATCACCACCCATCACTACTCATCACTAATCATCACCAACCATCACTACTCATCACTAATCATCACTACCCGCAACTACCATCACCACCCATCCCTCCCATCACTACCATCACCACCCATCCCTCCCATCACTACCAGAAGAACCCATCACTACCATCACTACCCATCACGACTGTCGTGACTGACTCTGAGACACTAAGACACACCACCCATCACTACCCACCACCCCCATCACCCCCATCACCACCTACACTACCACCACCATCACCCCCATCACCACCCATCGCTACCCACCACCTCCATCACCCCCATCACCACCCATCACTAGCCACCACCCCCATCACCACCTATCACTACCACCACCACCATCACCCCCATCACTACCCACCACCTCCATCACCCCCCATCACCACCCATCGCTAACCACTACCCCCATCACTACCCATCATTACCCACCACCTCCATCACCCCCCATCGCTACCCACCACCACCATCACCCCCATCACCACCCACACCACCACCATCACCCCCATCACCACCCATCACTACCCACCACCTCCATCACCCCCCATCACCACCCATCACTACCCACCACCTCCATCACCCCCCATCACCACCCATCGCTACCCACCACCACCATCACCCCCATCACCACCCACACTACCACCTCCATCACCCCCATCACCACCCACACCACCACCATCACCCCCATCACCACCCATCACTACCCACCACCTCCATCACCCCCATCACCACCCATCGCTACCCACCATCACCATCACCCCCATCACCCCCATCACCACCTATCACCACCACCATCACCCCCATCACTACCCACCACCACCATCACCCCCCATCACCACCCATCACTACCCACCACCTCCATCACCCCCCATCACCCCCCATCACTACCCATCGCTACCCACCACCCCCATCACCCCCCATCACCACCCATCGCTACCCACCACCCCCACGACGACCCCAATCTCTACCACCAGCACCACGTGGGTGGTAGAGCCATGTGGTTGGTCTCTTAGAGCCAAAAAAAGACAAACTCGAGTCCTCGCCCAGAGCGAGGGGGATGAGGGGGGGGGATGAGGGGGGGGATGAGGGGGGTAGGGGATAAGGGAGATGAGGAATAGGGGAAGGGGCGGGGGGCGATCTGGGAGGCGATGGGGGCTGTCTCGCTCCGGCCCCGGCTATTCATGGAGCCGGTTGTTCTTCTCGACAAGGAGTCAGCCGCGCGCCCCGGGCAGGACCCTCTTGGTGATTAGTGTTGGGACTCCGCCCCGAGGCTTTCCTGGGTAAACAATCATCACCATCATCATCAGCCCCCTATCTACCCACTGCTGGATGAACGCCTCTCCAAGCCGCTGCCAACCCCTCGTAACCCTGCGATTACCCCCCCCCCCAATCCATCCGGCACGGCACCACGGGCTGGACGAGCGGCGGTTATAATCCAGCGGCCGCCCCTGGTTAATACTCCGGCGTCGAGCACGACACATGCGCCGTCGGCTTAACAACAACGGGCGTTACAGATCCCGTGAGGTCATTAGCAATGTCGTGCCACTGGCGTTAAAGTTATTCATCCAGCAGCGGAGAGACCACGGCGTGGGGGAGGCCCGAATCCAGCTGACGGTGTTGACGGTGATCACTGGACTTGTATTGAATGCTGATTCCACCAGGTTCTTCACCCATCCCTCCCCTCCATCCCTCCCTCCCCTCCATCCCTCCCTCCCCTCCATCCCTCCCCTCCATCCATCCATCCCCTCCATCCCCTCCCCCCGCAGCCCTCCACGGGGCCCCGCGTGCAGCGCTAAGAGCCACTCCGCGCTCTGCGATGCGATCGGAGCGAGGAGAGAGAGGAGAGGGAGGGAGGAGAGGGACGGAGGGAGGGGAGAGCGACCAGTGAGAGAGAGAACGCAGGAGGTGGGAGGATCGCGAGAGAAGGAAGAGGGCGTGAGAGAGAGAGAAGGAACAGGGGAGAGTCGGGGTGGGAGAGTAAAGATAAGCGAGTGAGTGAGCGAGCACACGAGAGAGAGACAGAGAGACGGAGGGAGGGAGGAGCGAGGGACAGAGCTGAGACCCGCGCCCCGGGACAGAAGCGAGGCGCTCCCAGCGCGGATCCGCGACAGCGAGGAGGGAGCACGTGGCGGACAGGAGCCCTGTGAGTGGAGGAGTGTGAGGGAGTGAGTGTGTGTGTGAGTGTGTGTGAGTGTGTGAGTGTGTGTGTGTGAGTGTGTGTGTGAGTGTGTGTGTGAGTGTGTGAGTGAGTGTGTGAGTGTGTGTGTGTGAGGGAGTGAGTGTGTGTGAGTGTGAGGGAGTGAGTGTGTGTGTGAGTGTGTGTGAGTGGGGGAGTGTGAGTGAGAGTTTGTGAGTGTGTGAGTGTGAGGGAGTGAGTGTGTGTGTGAGTGTGTGTGAGTGGGGGAGTGTGAGTGAGAGTTTGTGAGTGTGTGAGTGTGAGGGAGTGAGTGTGTGTGTGAGTGTGTGAGTGAGTGTGTGAGTGTGTGTGTGAGTGGAGGAGTGTGAGGGAGTGAGTGTGTGTGTGTGAGTGTGTGAGTGTGTGTGTGAGTGAGTGTGTGAGTGTGTGTGTGAGTGGAGGAGTGTGAGGGAGTGAGTGTGTGTGAGTGTGTGTGAGTGTGTGTGTGAGTGGAGGAGTGTGAGGGAGTGAGTGTGTGAGTGTGTGTGAGTGTGTGTGAGTGTGTGTGGGAGTGAGATAGTGAGAGTGAGAATTTGTGAGTGGGGGAGTGTGAGGGAGTGAGTGTGTGTGTGAGTGTGAGGGAGTGAGATAGTGAGAGTGTGTGAGTGTGTGAGAGTGTGTGAGTGTGAGGGAGTGTGAGTGGGGGAGTGTGAGGGAGTGGGAGTGTGTGAGAGTGTGTGAGTGTGAGGGAGTGAGATAGTGAGAGTGAGAGTTTGTGAGTGGGGGAGTGTGAGGGAGTGTGAGTGGGGGAGTGTGAGGGAGTGGGAGGGTGTGAGAGTGTGTGAGTGTGAGGGAGTGTGAGTGTGAGGGAGTGTGAGGGAGTGAGAGTGTGAGAGTGTGTGAGTGTGAGAGTGTGTGTGAATGAGAGTATGTGAGTGAGAGTGTGTGAGTGAGAGTGTGTGAGTGGGGGAGTGTGAGGGAGTGAGAGTGTGTGTGAGTGGGGGAGTGTGTGATTGTGAGAGTGTGTGAGTGAGAGTGTGTGTGAGTGTGTGTGTGAGAGTGTGTGAGTATGTGAGAGTGTGAGTGTGTGAGTGAGAGTGTGTGTGAGAGTGATTGAGAGTGAGAGTGTGTGAGGGAGAGTGTGTGAGTGTGCGTGTGAGAGTGATTGAGAGTGTATGAGTGAGATTGTGTGAGAGAATTTGTGTATGAGAGTGAAAGTGTGTGAGAGTGTGTCTGTGACTTGTGTTGACCTGTGCGGCAGTGGATGTATCACAGTGTACGTGTGTTTGTGTCTGAATCTGTGGGAGGAGCGGTGGCGCAGTGATTAGCGCGCTCCGCAACGAACCCTGCGAACCCGAGTTAGATTCCCGCTCACGGTCAACACCAGTGACGATTATATGAGCCGGTCCTGGGCCTCCCCTAAATCGACTCAGCCTCAAACGAGTACCAGATGCGGTGCGTAAACATCGCCACAAAGGAGACAAAGGCGGTCGGACGTGGTGCTGGCCACCCACCCCCTCGTGTGCCGTGCCGGCCTTCATAGGCGCTGCTGCGACTCGCTACTAACAGCACGGCTGTGCTGGAGTGGTTCTGCGTCGTCTTGCGATGCGTCAGTGTCACTTGGCCACGGTGCGGTGTGTGCACATCAGCACTGGGGAGACGAAGGCGGCCGGGCGTGGGTGTTGCTGGCCACCCCACCCCCTGCCTTAGTAGGTGCTCGCTAGCAGCACTTGCCCCAACAGTGCGTGAAATCAGTACGGGGGATCTTTGTCTTCGTTTGTTCGTTTCTCAATCCGCTTGTCCCGGCGACAGCGCGGTGAGTCGGGCGGTCCCACACCTCCATGTCTCTGGCGACAGACTCGAGCACAACGTTACTACGATACACTACACTATACACTACTATACACTACTACACTACACTATACACTACTATACACTACTACACTACACTATACACTACTATACACTACTACACTACACTATACACTACACTACGATACACTACTATACTACACTACACTATACATTACTACACTATACACTACTACACTATACACTACACTATACACTACTACACTAAACTATACACTACACTTTACACTACTATACACTACTACACTATACACTACACTATACACTACACTATACACTACTACACTAAACTATACACTACACTTTACACTACTATACACTACATTATACACTACACTATACACTACACTATACACTACTACACTATACACTACTATACACTACTACACTATACACTACACTATACACTACTATACACTACTACACTACACTATACACTACTACACTATACACTACTACACTATACACTACTACACTACTATACACTACTACATTATACACTACGACACTATACACTACTGCACTATACACTACTGCACTATACACTACTGCACTATACACTACTACACTATACACTACTACACTATCCACTACTACACTACACTATATACTATACACTACTACACTATACACTACGACACTATACACTACTACACTATACACTACTACACTATACACTACTACTCTACACTATATACTATACACTACTACACTATACACTCCACTATACACTACTACACTATACACTACTACACTATACACTACACTATTACACTACTATACACTACTACATTATACACTACTACACTACACTATACACTACTACACTATACACTACTACATTATACACTACTACACTACACTATACACTACTATACACTACTACACTACTATACACTACACAATACACTACTACACTATACACTACTACACTACACTATACCCTACTACACTACTATACACTACGATACAGACTCCCAGCTATTCTTTGGTTTTTTTCGGTAAAGTCACGTATAATAAATAATAAACACGCGTTTGTGTGTGGACACACATGAACACGTGTTGTGTGTGGACACACATGAACACGTGTTTGTGTTTGTGCGACCACACATGAGCACGTGTTTGTGTGTGGACATACATGAACACGCGTTTGTGTGTGGACACACATGAACACGCGTTTGTGTGTGGACACACATGAACACGTGTTGTGTGTGGACACACATGAACACGTGTTTGTGTTTGTGCGACCACACATGAGCGCGTGTTTGTATGTGGACACACATGAACACGTGTTTGTGTGTGCGTGCAAATGAGCACGTGTTTGTGTGTGGACACACATGAACACGCGGCACTTGCCCCAACAGTCTCTATCGGCTACACGGGGCACCTTTGTCGTTGTGCGAGTGCGCGATAGGGAAGCCCGTGTCCTGGTGGTCGCCACGAGTTGCCAGCAACAAACGGAACCCATTGGCCACTCGCCATTGCGCGCAACTCCACGACCACCATCTCTCTCAAATGTAGCACTCTCTGGAAGAACGTCATCAACCAGGCAGGGTGCTGACTGTTATGTTAGCCGACTCTCTGTGTTGTATTGCATTGTATTTCCGAGTTTACTAGGTTGTTTCCTCTTTCATTTGTACCTGATGATTGCTTGTGTTGCAATCGAAACGTCGTGTGCTAGTATTTAATTTATTAATTTCTCTTTCTACGTGACTTTACCGAAAGAACCAAAGAGTCATTCCTGCAGTCACGAGAGCTCCAAGCCAAGTTTAGTTTCCACGATCACCGTTGCCTTGGCATTAAACTATACAAAGATCCCCCGTGCAGCCTTACACACAGACACCGCGACACACACAGACACCATGAGACTCACACACACAGACACCACGACACACACAGACACCATGAGACTCACACACAGACACCACGACACACACACAGACACCATGAGACTCACACACAGATACCACGACACACACACAGACACAATGAGACACACAGACACCACGACACACACACAGACACCATGAGACTGACACACAGACACCACGACACACACACAGACACCATGAGACTCGCACACAGACACCACGACACACACACAGACACCATGAGACACACACACAGACACCACGACACACACACAGACACCATGAGACTCGCACACAGACACCACGACACACACACAGACACCATGAGACTCACACACACAGACACCACGACACACACACAGACACCATGAGACTGACACACAGACACCACGACACACACAGACACCACGATACACACACACAGATACCACGACACACACAGACACCACGACACACACAGTGAGACACACACCCCCTGAGACACACAGACACCGTGACACACACATGCACACACGCTGAGACACACACAGACACCGTGAGATTCACACGCAGACACTAACACACACACCCTGAGACACACACAGACACCTTGACACACACACAAACACCGTGACACACATACACACACGCTGAGACACATACAAACACCGTGACACACACAGACACCACGACACACACACAAACACCGTGGCACACACATACACACACGCTGAGACACATACAAACACCGTGACACACACAGACACCACGACACACACACAAACACCGTGGCACACACATACACACACGCTGAGACACATACAAACACCGTGACACACACACGCTGAGACACACACAGACACCGTCATATTCACACAAACACCGCGACACACACACACCCTGAGACACACACAGACACCTTGACACACACACAAACACCGTGACACACACATACACACACCCTGAGACACACACAGACACCTTGACACACACACAAACACCGTGACACACACACATACTGAGACACATACACCGTGAGACTCGCCGTGAAACCCGAGTAATCATTCACCCGGCGTGCTTGATTAATGGCCCGGGCTATCGGGTTAATTGTTTAATTTCCTGGGCCGCTGATTGGCCGTGTGGCCGCGTGGCTCGACTCACCCCTCATCACACGGTTCCCTGGTCACGTGGCTTGCCTGCCGAGCGCTCATTCCTCCACATCGTCAATTCTAATTCACAATAACAACAACAGCAGCCGCCGGGCTGAATGGCACCCCGCACGGCCGCACGTAGCGGCGTGTTTGAACATACTTCACCACGCTGGTCACTGCGAGTTGCTGAAGACGGCGGCGATGGGCTACGCCGCTTTCAGACATCAATCGCCACTGATATTCGCCGGCAATGTGAACTCAGAGAGTCGATTCTAGATTTGAAGCTTTCGTGACTGCAAGGATTCATATTCTTAGGTTTTTTCGGTAAAGTCACGTAGGTAAAAATTTAAATTTTAAAAAAGTAAAATAAAAATAAGCAACACAAGCTTCCGTCTTCAGGTGGAACCGTCACAGCACGATTGCTGTATCAAGTAAGAGAAATTCCAAGCGACCCGTCTTTGTATATATACTGGTTGAGGGTGGGAGGAGCCAAGGCAAGGCACCTGGATCGGAGTTTTGTATTATTATTGTTGTGAGGTTGGTGCGGCTGAAGCCGTGCTAGGAATGAGCCTTTGTTGTGTAGACTGGTTGAACTGGGAGGTACCAGAGTTGTTAAGGTGCGGCTGCCGTCTTACTTGATACAGCTATCGTGCTGTGACGGTTCCACCTGAAGACGGAAGCTTGTGTTGCCTCCGAAACGTCGTCATTTTTATTTTTATTTAACTTTTTATTAATTAAAAAAAAATTTACCTACGTGACTTTACCGAAAAAAACCCTAAGAATATAATCAGAGAGTCGAGTTGGTTCATGACGCAGTGTCGCGAACCGCTGCGCCACCGCTCCGTCAGATGTTCTGATTCGTATTCTGACCATGATATTGATCATGTTATTGATCATATGATAATTGTATTGGTCATATGATAATATGTTTGGTCATCTGACCGTGTGATTGATCATCTGATCATGTAATCATTGGATTAATTATTCTGGTTTACGTGATCATCTGACTGGGTGGTGATGAGAATGGTCCCTCTCCCGCCCTCTGCTGGATTGGTGGAATCCTTGCCCGGGCCAAGGGAACACAGGAACCGTGCCCACACACACGGTGATGCCACAGCACACACGGTGATGCCACAGCACACACGGTGATGCACGTGTTAGGAATTGGAGGCAGTCGCGCCGCCAACAACAACGGAGGGCAAGAGGAGCGACGCTCACAACGAGCGGAGCGACGGGCAGATAAGACGCAGATAGTTGGCACAGTGCGGAGTACAGCTGGTGCATCTGGCCAGTCGTCTCAGTCATTCGACCCACGGCACCTGGGTCTGTTCCGTGACCTCCTGCCAGCGGTCCTATCGACACTTCACGTGGCCTCAAAGTGCACCTCGCTTGGCACAAGCGCCGGGGTGACGTCACCGCCACTGAGCGGTTAACGGGGGTTGTTGTTGTCATCAGGGTGAGCGTTGCGGTGCTTGTAAAATGTCCACAGCATCTTTGTGGGTGACGGCTTCTTCAGACATTGAGACGATCTCAAATTATTCACACACCCTGAGCCCTCTGACCCCATAACCTTGTGGCTCGTCACCCCGTGCCCCACGATCGTACGTACAATGATCTCTGACCCCATGAGCGTGTATCTCGTGACCCCGTATTCCTTCACTCGCTCACCTTGTGACCCTGCACTGCATGACCTTGTTCCATGACCACGTGACTCTTGACCTTATATCGAATGACCCCTCACAGCCCGTGACTTTGTAATTGTCCAACTCATGACATTGTGACCGTGTGGCCCAATAGCGTACTCCCCATGACCTCGTGTTTCAGATCGCATGACCCCGAGTCTCATGACCTCGTGACCCCGTAACCCATTACCCCATGACCTTGACCCCGTGTCTCATTACAATTTACCCCAATACCCTATGCCCCATGACTGAATCACCTCGTGCCACCACGTGGCCGGCCCCCTGTGCACCAGGTGATCCAACCCAGCTCCACCATGACACCACCGTCGTCGCCGCCGCCGCTGCGGCTGCTGCTGCTGCTCCTGCTCCTGTGCGGGGCACCCCATCTCGGCTCATCGGGGCCCCTGGGGGCCGCGCGGGCCCCCACGATCCGTCGACACGCTCACGAGCACGACGAGGGTGAGTGTCGCCCATGGAGGGGTTGGGGGAGGCGGTAACTCCGGTGATGGCGGTGGTGGCGATGGTTGGTGCATCGGTTAGAAACATTCAGGTTGGCCTGCCTACGATCCATCCTGGGTTTAACTAAGCTGCAATGTGTGAGGAGTTCACAGATGCTTGAAAGATCTGGACACATTCTCATCAGTGAGCTCCTCTGGCAGGCAAGACTGCGTTGGCTGGGTCATGTAGCCTGCATGCCTAGCCACTGCATGCACATGCATCTTATGTTTGGCCGGATAGAGGTCTCTAAACGGCCACGATACGAGCTCGAGAAGAAATGCACTGATGTAGTACGGGAGGATGTGGAACTGAGTGGACTTGCCAAAGACTGGTACCAGCGGTGTCAACATCGGCCTCTATGGAGAAGGCTCGTGAAGGACGATACTGGTCAGTTGGAGGCAATTGCCCTCCAACAACAACGAGCAGAGTGCCGGGTGCGACTAAAACACAGCATCTCAGTCAACCCATAAGACCTGGGTTTGTCCCGTGACCTCCTGTCAGCGAGCCTTTGGCAATTCACGTGGCCTCAAAGTGCACCTGGCCTGGCACAGGCACCGTGGTGACGTCACCGCCACTTCGTGGCTGCTGTTGGTGGTGGTGGGCGGGCAACATCGTGAACTCGGCACGGCCATGTGAGCTGGGCTGCGATTGGGGGTGGAGGTGGAGTCGGGACGATCATCGGCACGTTCACACGAGCTCGAGTGATTGGCCACCGAGAGGACATCGAACCGCGGAGACGAAGCGATGACATCGGCTGTTCTTGTAACCTGTGCTCGTTGTTACACATCGCTCCGCGTGCACACCCCAGGGAAGCCTCACTGGGTCTCAAGACTCTTTGTCAGGAGGGTCCTGACCAAGTTTTAGCAGTCGAGGAGGGGAGGCGGGAGATGATTACTTCTGCTTCTGCTGTGATCCCCACTGAGTGATTTGTGATTGGTCAGCATTGGGACCTGGTTTGGCCAACATCGGTCAAACCTGTGTGGGTTTTAAGCTTCGCATAGGGCAGTGGTTCTCACGCGTGGGGCACGTGTCAATGTCCCAGGGGGGTTACGTGAGGTGATTTATGAACGTATGAATCATTGGTGAATAATCACGTAGGTATCTGCCAATATATGATATCCACGATACAAAATTTTAATCCATATGGTAACCTATAACGATGTAAAAATACCTTTCTAAACTCGCAACCAGCGAGCGAGAACAAATCACGTCACGTGTGCAGAGCGTCCGTGGAAATGCGCTATTTCCTTGCAGTTACTTAGCTAGTTAGGTTTACCTCACAAAATGGACAATTGCTTAAAATGTTGATGTTCATTATTCGTACCACTGTTGGGTCAGGCAAGAGGGTTATATACTCGGTTGAAACAAAATTCAACAATGGGAGTCACAGTGAGGGGGGTGCAACGTCGCGCTGTGTGCATCCCAAGTGGATTGGGGGTGGAGGTGAGGAGGGAATGGCACAGCTACCGAGCCGTGCGCAGGCAGTGCAACTGCACCGAGCTACGAAAAGAGGGGGGGGGGGTGGCAATTTGAACAGGGCGGGGGGGGGGGCATTGCACAAAAAACACAAACGCAAAGATCTCCCGTGTAGCCTAAACAGACTGTTGGGGCAAGTGCCGTTAGCGAGCACCTACGAAGGCCGGCACGGCACGCAAGGGGATGGGGTGGCCAACACCACGCCCGGCCGCCTTTGTCTCCCCAGCGTCGATGTTTTTGCACACAGCCCCAGGTACTCATTTGAGGCCGAGTCAATCTAGTGGCGGCCCAGAACCGGTTCGGATCATCGCCACCGCTGTTGGCGGCCGTGAGCGGGAATCGAACTCGGGTCGCCGGGCTCGTAGCGCAGCGTAGCCCTAACCGCTGCACCACCGCTCCTCTCCACGAGCATTGTCCCGTGCCCTGAGCCACGCGCGCTGCACCCCCGGTGGCCGGGAGATCGCTGAGCCCTCCTCCCCCTCCTCCCCCTCCTCCCCTCCTCCTCCCCCTCCTCCCCCTCCTCTCCCTCCTCCCACTCCTCCTCCCCCTCCTCCTCCTTCCCCTCCTCTCCCTCCTCTCCCTCATCCCCCTCCTCCCCCTCTTCCTCCTCCCCCTCCTCCTCCTCCCACTCCTCTTCCCCCTCCTCCTCCTCCCCCTCCTCCCCCTCCTCTCCCTCCTCCCACTCCTCCTCCCCCTCCTCCTCCTCCTTCTCCTCCCCCTCCTCCCCCTCCTCTCCCTCCTCCCACTCCTCTCCCTCCTCTCCCTCCTCCCCCTCCTCCTCCTCCTCCCCCTCCTCTCCCTCCTCCCACTCCTCCCCCTCCTCCCCCTCCTCCTCCTCCCCCTCCTCCTCCTTCCCCTCCTCTCCCTCCTCTCCCTCATCCCCCTCCTCCCCCTCCTCCTCCTCCCCCTCCTCCTCCTCCCACTCCTCCCCCTCCTCCCCCTCCTCCCCCTCCTCCCCCTCCCCCTCCTCTCCCTGGGTCCCTCCTCAGTGGTCCCCGCCGGCACCCACCTGACCGTGGAGGTGGCGGCCAAGGTGGTGCTGTCGCTGCGCGGCGGCAACGCCACGCTGCCTTGCCGCTTCCACCCGGCCGAATCGGGCGGCTCGGCGCGGGCGGTGCGGGTCAAGTGGACCCGGCTCCCCGAGCTGGGCGGAGGAGGGGGCGTCGGCGCCGCCGGTGCCGTGGAGGCCGAGACGGACGTCGTCGCGGCCATGGGCGGCCTGCAGCGCGCGTTCGGCCCGTACCAAGGCCGGGCCGGCCTCCTGCGGGCCGACCGCCACGACGCGTCGCTGCTGCTGGCCGACGTGCGCCTGGCGGACCGCGGCCGCTACCGCTGCGAGGTGGTGGACGGCCTGGAGGACGACAAGGGGGAGGTGGAGCTCGAGCTGGACGGTGAGTGGCTGCTGGTGCTGGTGGTGGTGGGCAAGCCCCACTTGGGGTGTGTGTCTGTTGGTGGTGGTGGGCAAGCCCCACTTGGGGTGTGTGTCTGTTGGTGGTGGAGGGCAAGCCCCACTTGGGGTGTGTGTCTGTTGGTGGTGGAGGGCAAGCCCCACTTGGGGTGTGTGTCTGTTGGTGGTGGAGGGCAAGCCCCACTTGGGGTGTGTGTCTGTTGGTGGTGGTGGGCAAGCCCCACTTGGGGTGTGTGTCTGTTGGTGGTGGAGGGCAAGCCCCACTTGGGGTGTGTGTCTGTTGGTGGTGGTGGGCAAGCCCCACTTGGGGTGTGTGTCTGTTGGTGGTGGTGGGAAAGCCCCCGATTGGTGTGGATGTCTGTTGAACTTCTTTCGCACCGTACGTAGTCAACCGTGCTAAATCGGAGGTACAGTATTGAGTCTATGTGCAGTGTTAGTCTATGTGCAGTATTGGTCATAGGGCAGTAGTCTTTGTGGAAAATGCCCGGTTGGGGCCAGTCAATTTCAAGGGCCAGTTTATTCTGGGTAAATTATACATGTGCAGTGGATTCAACTGAGTCGCAGACGTACTTCTTGGAGGCAACACATATTTATTAACACCAACACATAGCACAAAGGGGTTACTGCCCCTTCACCAGATAACCTGTGGTGGTGGACCACCAGGCTAACTACGCTAGTTACTGGGAGTAGCTACAATGGGCAGGACCCTGGCTTGGGCCCTCGTCCACGTGTTGGTGACTTCTTCTTGGACGTAGAACGTAGAACGAAGATCTTCAGATGACGACAGCAACGCTGAACTCCGCTCCCTGTGGGGACCCGGTTTACATGCTCCCGGGTCGTGGCTGGCCCCGCCCTTGGCCACGACCACCTTCGAGAAACCTCTTGTCCATTCTCGACCCTTGCCGTAGGATCTCACCCTGACACGTGACCACCCCCGAGCCCCCACCTGAGGCCCCTGTGTAGATCTTACTGGTCACTTGCCTTCCAGGGTTAACCAGAGTGCCATGGCCTCGGGTAACATCATCCCATGGCTGACACTCTCATACTCCCTCCTGTAGGAGTCAGCACTACACGTCACGCGTGGTGCCAATCTCAGCGCTATCCCAGCGCTCACCGAGTCGCCTCTAGGACTGGTACTACACCCACCTACGGGGTGTCCGCGATGACGATGCATCGCACGCCGTGCCTCGCTCGAGCCGGCATTGCACAGTGTCATCCGTGATGTCACTACACATGTGATCAGAGTAAAACATTTATATTTTACGAAAATATTTGATTACCTTTAATGTGTACGCTTCCTTGCTTTATTTACGCTCTCAGTTTGCATCAAGTCCCATCCATATATTCGGCAGCCCCAAAGATTCTTCCTCACCGGCTCCTCGTTCGTTTTTTTGGTCCCTGCCCCTAATGGACCCAATGAGATCGTGCGGCAAAATCACGCCAATATGTCGGCACGCGGCAAATCTCGCTACTAGTAACTGCACAGTTTGCTATCGCACAACAACCCACTTCAACATAATATGAAAATAATTATTGGCCATAGCCCGAATGTGTGGCTGGTGTGTTTTCAAATGCCTTGGCCCGATTTAAGAAAAAAATTGTCCCAGTCCGTCAATGTCGGTGGAGCGTTATTTAGTTTTTTTTCTTGTCGTATTATTGCCGTCGTCGTTCACGCCAAACCACATCTCTCCCGATTGCCGATGAATCGCACACGATGCCGGAAGGCATCAACAGCAATCAGAAGTTGAGCCGGCGCTAGACACACATATCCAAGCTCTGCGTTTCTATATCTATATAGCATACAGTAGTTCCTCGGTTAAAATCGTCATCGGTTAACAGTTTATCGGTTAACGTTTCGCCTCCCAAAGGACCCCACGGTTCCACTGAACGTTAACATGTTGACTCGCGGTTCCACTGAACGTTAACATGTTGACTCACGGTTCCACTGAATGTTAACATGTTGACTCACGGTTCCACTGAACGTTAACATGTTGACTCACGGTTCCACTGAACGTTAACATGTTGACTCACGGTTCCACTGAACGCTAACATGTTGACTCACGGTTCCACTGAACGTTAACATGTTGACTCGCGGTTCCACTGAACGTTAACATGTTGACTCACGGTTCCGACTGAACGTTAACATGTTGACTCACGGTTCCACTGAACGTTAACATGTTGACTCACGGTTCCGACTGAACGTTAACATGTTGACTCACGGTTCCACTGAACGTTAACATGTTGACTCACGGTTCCACTGAACGTTAACATGTTGACTCGCGGTTCCGACTGAACGTTAACATGTTGACTCACGGTTCCATTGAACGTTAACATGTTGACTCACGGTTCCACTGAACGTTAACATGTTGACTCACGGTTCCACTGAACGTTATCATGTTGACTCGCGGTTCCGACTGAACGTTAACATGTTGACTCGCGGTTCCACTGAACGTTAACATGTTGACTCACGGTTCCACTGAACGTTAACATGTTGACTCACGGTTCCACTGAACGTTAACATGTTGACTCGCGGTTCCGACTGAACGTTAACATGTTGACTCACGGTTCCGACTGAACGTTAACATGTTGACTCACGGTTCCACTGAACGTTAACATGTTGACTCGCGGTTCCGACTGAACGTTAACATGTTGACTCACGGTTCCACTGAACGTTAACATGTTGACTCGCGGTTCCGACTGAACGTTAACATGTTGACTCACGGTTCCACTGAACGTTAACATGTTGACTCGCGGTTCCGACTGAACGTTAACATGTTGACTCGCGGTTCCGACTGAACGTTAACATGTTGACTCGCGGTTCCGACTGAACGTTAACATGTTGACTCACGGTTCCGACTGAACGTTAACATGTTGACTCACGGTTCCACTGAACGTTAACATGTTGACTCACGGTTCCACTGAACGTTAACATGTTGACTCGCGGTTCCGACTGAACGTTAACAAGTTGACTCACGGTTCCACTGAACGTTAACATGTTGACTCGCGGTTCCGTGTTTACGTTACGCACGCGGCGCGCCAATTTCGGGAGACGCGCCCTCAGCCAATCAGCGACGCCCATTCGTGAGCGATGAGACCTCGACTGGCTTTGTCTACATGGCGTCTTCCCGTTTGGCAGTGGGAACAGCCTCGCTTGCAGATTCACAGATTTGTTTTCTGTTCACGGCGTATATATGCTCAGGTGTGGGTTCACCCAATCAGCATGCGCGGAAGGAAACCAAAGGCGCTGTGACGCGTGTGAGGGAGGCAAACCCGTTATCCCAAGCAGAAGGGACGGACAGTATTCGTCCACACTTTGTTGTACAGCCCTGTTCTCGCGAGCCGCGCCACGGCTACTCCACCAATGCCCTCGCTGCCGCCTGCGCGGCACGGGACGCGTGCGGACGCTGCGAATTCCAAACAAGCTCAGCAAATCGCTGGCCCTCCCTTGGCCTCGTGCACTCACTGTTGGCATGGCAACTGCCGGACGTCCAGAGAGAAAAGCCACAAGCCACATGCGTGAAATAAAATGTTTGATTGTTGTTCGTCGAAAAAAAACTTCCCCTCGGGATGGAACGACTGACTCATTGCAAGGCGCCGTGGTGCCATGCGGCACACGGCAACACGTGCAGGGATGCGTCCAACTTGTAAAAAGCGTGTGTTTATACGGCATTCAACATGTTGACACGACGCCAATCGTAGAAACAGCCCAGCGAACACGGGACGCGGTGCCAACGTTTCTTATTTACTGTGAAAACAGCGCAAGGCAGGCGCAGTCAAAAAGCATCCACGTCAGCTTCATTGCACTACACTAATACGCCATTCCTTCGCATCTGGAACTCTGCTGCGTCTATGTCGGAGCAGTAATGACATCACAACGATCATCATCATCATCGTCACCATTTTCATCATCATCACCATCATCATCATCGTCACCATTTTCATCATCATCACCATCTTCATCACCATCACCATCGTCACCACCATCACCGTCACCATCATCACAATCGTCACCATCATCACCGTCACCATCATCACCATCATCACCGTCACCATCGTTACATCATTCTCCTGCGCAGCATCATCAAAATTTAAGGTAAGTTAATTTCTAAACTATTATTGGACATAAAATGTATTTAAAGTGTATTATAACCACATTTTTGTGTTATGATCATTTGCATCTGTTTCATAGCTTATTTACGTATTTATTTACGGTAATTGATTTCGTACCCCTCACGAGCAACGAGCGAACGCTGCACTTTGTATCGTCTCTGCACAGGTGGCCACACAATGAACTTCATGATTCGCTCACTCCACCCACTCAATCCAGCCAATAACTCAATCCACCCAATAACTCAATCCACCCACCCACTCAACCCCCCCACCTACCCACCCAACCCACCTACCCACCCAACCGACCTACCCACCCAACCGACCTACCCACCCAACCCACCCAACCTACCTACCCACCCAACCCACCCAACCCACCCACCAAATCAACCCACCCACTCACCAAATCAACCCTCCCACTCACCAAAGCAACCCACCCACTCACCAAATCAACCCACCCACTCACCAAATCAACCCACCCACTCACCAAATCAACCCACCCACTCACCAAATCAACCCACCCACTCACCAAATCAACCCACCCACTCACCAAATCAACCCTCCCACTCATCCCACTCTCTCCCTCCAGCCACCAACCAAACTCTTCCCTCTCTGCTTCTTGCCTCGCACGGCTCCACTCTCCCTCCTATCGTCAATATTCCCAACCTCACATAATAACATCAGCCATACTCAATAAATAAAAAAGTGTTATCTCTTATCTATTGCAACATTATCAGTACTGGTTGTCGGTGGTCGCTTGATCTTTTAGGCCTCTGCTCAGGTATCGTGATATATGACCGTGTGTGTTGAACTCTTTTTCGCACACCGTACGTAGCCAAAAGTGCTATGTGGAGGTACGGGGGAAGGACAACTCGGATCTCAAATGAGTGTCCAATCTAGATCAGGGGTCGGCAACCAAAATATGAGGGTTTTTTCCGAATTCGGTAAAAACACTCGATAAGTCAAGAGCCGCAATGCAACGTGAACAGACGGGACTGTGGTTCCTTCACCAATAATATCGCGAAGCAGTCCTGAAAGAGCCGCACGCAGTTCAGGAGCCGCAGGTTGCAGACCACTGATCTAGATTATAGACATGTCATACTAATCAAAACAAAATCCTCAACATCTCCTGACCTTCCGCCCGTGCCCCTCCGCTCCTTTGCCATTGCAGGCGTGGTGTTTCCGTACCAGGCGCAGCGCGGCCGCTATAAGCTGTCATTTGCGGAGGCGCAGGCGACATGCGCGGAGCAGGGAGCCACGCTGGCCACGCTCGGGGAGCTGCTGCAGGGCTGGGAGGCAGGCCTCGACTGGTGTAACGCGGGCTGGCTGGCCGACGGCTCGGTGCAGTACCCCGTCACCGTGCCCCGCGAGCCCTGCGGAGGGAAGGCGACGCCGGCCGGCCTGCGCAGCTACGGATTTCGGCACCGCACGCCCCAACGCTTCGACGCCTTCTGCTTCGCGGCTGCCATCAAAGGTGCGGTGGCTCGACGATGGACGGTCAGGGTTTTGAGAAGAATAAATGTGGCGCGTCCGCTATTCGCGCCGTTCCTATGGCTGCAGGGCGATCTTCGTGAAGGAAGATCGCAGTTTCGTAGTAGGGGTCGATGTATGTATTTAGGTACGTTGAACTTATTCCGCGCCGTACATAGCCAACCGTTCTAATTATGCTAATGCGAGCCCCTACCTGGAGCCAGCAGATGTACACTCCCGAGCTCACCCCACGACCCCCCTTTGTCTCCGCCCCCCCCCCCCCCCATAACCATTCCCGTTCCTGTTCCCTCTTCATATTCTCATTACATGGCTATCACTCATTCACCCCATTCATTCATTCAATCATCGTCATTTACTGTCATCTATTTTGCTTTCACCGAATTCACCCATCACAGATTTGCCCCCATTGCTTCCTCAGTTTCATTCACCTCATCTCCACCATTACATTCACATGTTGTATCGTTCTTAATTCACTGTAATGCACCTTGGTTAAGGCGCTATATACATTATGTTACGATAAGATATCCCAATCCCACTATTCCTGAATCCCTCCATCGCCTGATCCATTTGTCCCCTGATTCCCAGATCCTCTTATCCTCAGATCCCAGTCGCTAACCCCGTCAATCACCTCCCTCCCCTAAACAGGTGACATCCCCTACCTTGAGCTCAGAGTTGTATGCTCCGAATCCCTAAATCCCTGGATCCTTCAATTCCCATATTCCTCCATCATCTGATTTCCAAATCCTTAAATTAATCGATCCACCGTTTACTTCATCCCCAATCTCAAAATTCCTTAGATCCACTCGATCCACCGACCACTCCATCCCTTGGCAAATCGACCTCCTGGTCCTGTGGTCCTTGAGAGCCTCTGATCCCTCCAATCCCCTGTCATTGATGGCGAGATGTTAACTACCTCGCCCGGTATACAGGAGGTCGTGGGTTCGATCCCAATCCTGACGCCTGCTGTATATTTGGAGTTTGCGTGTCTCTCTCACCGTAGTCGCGTGGATTTTTCTCCGGGTCCTCCAGTTTTTCCCTCCACATTTAGAATCAACGTGGATTCAGAGTATGTGGCTGCTATAAATTTCCACATGATGACAAGCCACTTCATTGGCCTATCATTTGTGATAGCCAGGTCGCTTCTGAAAAAGAGCTGGTAAAATAAAAAGGCTTTAGTTTGACCCCAGCGTGACCTCCCTCTCCCCCCCCCCCCCCCTTCAGGCGAGGTCTACTACCTGGAGCGGGCCGGCACGCTCCCGTTCCCCGCGGCGGTGCTCGCCTGCGCCGCCGCCGGCGCTTCCCTGGCCACGGTGGGGCAGCTCTACTCGGCGTGGCACCACCACGACCTGGACCGCTGCGACGCCGGCTGGCTCGCCGACGGCAGCGTGCGCTACCCCATCGTGAGCCCGCGCGACAACTGCGGCGGCGGCGAGCCCGGCGTGCGCACCCTGGGCTTCCCCTCCAAGCTGCAGGGCCGCTTCGGCGCTTACTGCTACCGGGAGGCGGCATTTGCCGCTTAGAATTTCGCGGTGTAATGGCGCTCGTTTAAACGTTCTCGGCAGCTCACTTCTCATCTCAATCATTCAAATGCCCTGCTGCGGTTTAGCCTGGGGGACCCCGAGTGGCAGCTGTCCCTGCGCGGCGCAATGTGTGTAGACTGCACCAGCCTGCACATGGTCATTGGTGTGCCAGTGAGGAATAAGGGTTTACGTTTACAGGGTGTTTAAGTGCCTTTAAGTGCTTTGTTTCACATCTCATCTCAACCATTTACCAATGCTCTGCTGCAGTCTGGCCTTGGGCAACCCCAACGGTAGCTGTCCCTGTGCGGCACAAGGTGTACGCAGCACCAGTCTTTATGAGAGTTATTGTACCCACCCTCTCCCATTGCACAGACGGGACAGGCAGAAATAGTACCAAGTGTTTTTGCATTAGCTTTTATCTGAAAGTGAGACCCAGAAGTTGTGTCTGCACTAGCAGTGGCTGCGGTGGCAGCGAGCCCTTCATGGGCCCACTCTCCGATCTCGTCGTTGTAACCGATTCACCAGGTGGGAGAAACCGGAGTGGAACGCCGCGGTGGCGAGATGTTAACTATCACACTTGGTATACAGGTCGTGGTTTCGATCCCGACACCGACGATTGTATATTTGGTTTTTGCATGTACCCCCGTGGTGGACTTTTTTCCGGGTCCACCGGTTTTTCCCTCCACATTTAGAAACATCCGTTTAGAGTATTTGGCTCCTATAAATTTCCGCATGATAAGCCACTTCATGGGGTGATCATTTTTGGCCAGGTCACTTCTGAAAAAGAGCTATATAGCTCAGCAGGCCTTACCTGGTAAAATAAAAGTAGTTTTAAAAGAGTAGAAAAGCCAAACTCAAGGTCGAGATGTCATTGTGGCCACAGGGTGTAAATTTGGAAGATAAACACGTGTCCACCCCATCGTCACTCCACTGCTGGATGAGGGCCTGCCCACGCCGGCAGCGGTACGGGCTATTTTACCGAACCGTACGTTGGTCATAGCTTGTTGGTGAAGATGGACAGCAGAGTGGTGGAAGCAAACGAGTACAGTACAACCGTGGATTTTGGTGCACTTCCCTCTGCTATGCATGTTGAAATTCTTTCGCACCGTACGTAGCTAACCGTGCTAATCAGAGGTGCTCACCACTCAACCTCTGACACCTGTTTGTCCACAGTGATCGCTCATCCAAGCACTAACCAGACTCAAGCCCTACTTAGCTTCCGAGATCTGGCGAGATCTAGCGTGTTCCAGATCTACTTGGTCACAGGCTCAATTTAAACTCGATCAAAAAAATCACCGCACACGGAGCGGACGTTTTGCTAATTTATTTCCAAGATTGAGAAGGATAAACGTTAAGCGCCACCAGGTAAGATTGCATTCTAAAAGATAAGACACACACAGACACACGTGACACAGGTGTTGTTAAAAACTGTGTTCGCGGAGCGTCAACCTGACGTGAGCCCGGCGGTACCGTGCCCCCCACAGACGAGGCCCAGCTGGTGTAGAAATGGCAAATCTGTTATATATTGGGAAATATAGATGGCAAACACTCTGTACTGTGTATATAGAATGTTGTATTCTATATATTAAGACAATGTACTCACAACAAGCCATAGCAATGCTTTGAAGAATATCGCCATACTTTTCAATTACAATGCGATGTGTGCATGGTCGTGGCCGTCGCCGCGTGCGACCACGTTCTGATCCGTGCCGTGGCGTGTCGGTAACGTGCGTCACGCATCGTACCCTCGCTTCGCATGCACCCGCGGGGCAGCGGCGGGCAGGGAGCTTCTCCTTGCCGAGGGGTCCCTTTGGCAGCGAGCGTGCACTGGGGTTGCCACCTCCGAGGTGCAACAACAATAACACCGGTGACACCGCAAGGAAGAAGAGGAATATCTTGCAATGCCGGCAGAGGTGGCAACAGCATGTGAATGCATCGCGTTGAGCGGTGGGGATTACTACGCCACGGTGCTAATAGCGGGACTCAAGGTGCTAACGAATGTCCCAGGAAAGCCAGGCCAAGTGTAACACCAGAATTGCCACACACGCGCTCAAGACACTTCGGTCACCGCAAGGGGCCCTTACACAGTGGCAAAAGTGACTTGAGTACAGTGCCAACATTATAAACACATTGTTGTTGTTGCCAGGTCTAAAATGTGCCCCCCTGGTACCCGATTAGTGTGGTCATGGTGCTGGCAGCATACCGATCAACCCATACGCTTTACCCGTATTCTTGAAGAAGGAAATTGAGTTTTCTGGTCCATACGGCGTACAGACGTTGCAATCCGGGCACATTTATTTTGTCTGTTTCTCCCTTGCGACGGGACTTTGTAGTATGAACGTTGAGATCTATAAGGGCACGGGGTGACCAATACGATCTGAATAGGTCTGTATGTAATAAGGTAGGCACTGATGAGGGGTTGACAGCTATATTGCAGTGACGGCATTAACATCATTTGTACATCGTTAGTGGCCGCGGGCCGTATGAAACGAAGCCGCAGGTCCATAGAATATAGCCCACGGGCCGCCATACGCTCCCCAGCCGTGCCACATACAATATATGTATGCATACACGACTCCCACTTATCCGCGTACCTTTTTTACTCACGACTTATATTATCCGCAGCAGCTGTAAGGGGTCCGCGAAAACTCTCTATTACACTGGTCAACACACTTTTTCTGGCATAAGGTATTCCAACGGTTCTAAGGTGATTCCAAATCTGGCATCAGTTTTTGTCTATCACATCAGGTTTTTGAGATATCAAATATTGCATTTTCAATAAAAACTGCAGAAGAAAAATGTTAAATAAATGTGGATATCTACATAAAATTATATTATAAACACACTATCCTAAAAATACAGCACCATATTTTAACACTAAAGCAGTCACTGACTCGCAACAACTTGCAATCATAAGTGACAGAGTTAATTTCTGGTAAAATCAATGAAAATGGGGTATGCCGATAGCATAAAAATGAGATGTGATTGAGCAAATCTGAGATCAGATTTGGCATCAGCACCCTGAAATTATTCTAGAACAGCTGCAAAAGTCCAGGCCAGAAAAAAGTTTTTTTTTTGACCAGTGTTATCTGCGGCTTCCAAATACTGTCGATTTCCCCGCGGATTAGAGGAGTCTCAGCGTGGCAAATCCACCCGATAATCCGCGGGGGTTATCCACGAAGTTTGACGACGACGACAAACATCGCGGATGACCCCCGCGGATGAGAGGGTCTCCGATAACCGGAGGAGTTCTGCATGCAGCACGAATCCGCGTGGAACAATAACTCTTTTGCTTCTGTAATATTTTTTTGACATATATATTTTAAATATTATACGTTTATGTAATGTCTCCCGTTCTGTAAAGAATAAAAGCCACCAAAATGTGTACACTCAACCTCCTCAAGACGAGTCAAATAAAGGTTTTAGACTCTTGTTGTTGTTGTAGAAATAAGGACCGGAGACTTCGCGACACGCGTTGCCGTAGTAACGGGCCCTGCGAGATTGGTACTTGTACGGGCCCCACTGTAAAACACTCGAATAATCGTTTTGTTGCTTTAGTTTCAGTTTTCTACATATTTGTATTTTTGTCCCCAAACCAATACTGTTCAATAATAACGACAAGGCAGCTCCACGTCTCCCGTGTAGTGCGGGAGGATCATTTTCAGCGGCTGCGGCCTGTGGCCTCGAACGTAAGTGTTTTACTTGCAATAATTGACACTTTTTAAAATACAAGTCCCGCGGTCTTCCCCGCCGGGTTTGTCTGTGTGTAGTGGGTTCTTCAGACGCCGTAGGTGGATAGTTGAGGCAACGCTTATTTATTATAACACCAACTTGTTAACACAACACAACACCTTCTAACAGGAAGGGTAACGGCCCTTCCACCCGCTAGCGAAGGGGATACACTTCCCCACGGAACTTGACCTGACCGCGCCAAGGTGCAGGTCTCGACCACTGGCCACACGGACCCGGCCCTGACAAGGACGTCGGGCTCCGAGGCTCGAGGGTCACGTCACTGGCTCAGTCTGCCCGGCCCTGACAGACGAGTCCAGGGTCCGGCCTTCTGTCTTCACTGGTTATTCCGTCTTCGCTGGCAGCACTGCCCAGATCCTCTCGGGCTCCTGCCTTTTATACGTCTCCCCACCGAGGGGCGGGGTTCTGTGGGATCCCAAGACACCCCGCAGCCCCCCTGCCCCGGGCTAGGGATACCGTGATTGCCCCCTACAGGTAAGCAGTGGGTGCTAGCCGGAGATGGTGTACGTTCGTCCAATAACACCATTACACGTGTACATCGATAAAAGTGAACGCATGAAGTTAACAATCACGTACGCTTGCTGTTGAGCGCAACAGGACGCAGGCTTCGTGAACCACGGCCCGAAATGACGTGCCCAACTCACAAGGGGGCGTCCATAAATGACGTCACTCACCTAGGGGGGGGAGGAGTCAAACATTTGTGACGATGTGTGACGAGGGGGGGGGGGTGAGAAATGTGACGTCACAACAAACTGCGCAACTTTAAATAAATATAGACAACACGTTCTACTTTATTAAATAGACTTTTTAATACATGTTTCTCCTACAACATCAGAGTGCAGCGCCACATTAAATACGCACTACAATGACAATAGTTTAAAGCGATTTGAAGCATGTTTTATTTTGGGGGGGGAAGAGCTTTGTGACGTCATATTTGAGGGGGGGTCTGACTTTTTGTGACGTCGTGTGACGAAGGGGGGGGGGGGGTCAAAAATCGTTCAAAATCGTGTGACGTCATTTATGGACGGCCCCCAACCGCCCTTCAAGTCTCAAATGGCCGCTAATTCCTGCCATGATTTTAGCATGTCTTTTTCCCATTATGATTTAAAATGTGTTCCCACTAATCGTGGGCTTTCCCTCATGTGGCGCCATTCTAACTCGTACTCACCCAACGACGCCCGCTCGAGGGAGACGTTTTGTAAAGCGACTGGTGCGTGACAGCGGACCACGGCGTGACGCGGGTCTGACTAGGGGCGGCGTGAGGGTGAGCGAGGGGGTGAGTGTGAGTGAGTTTAGTGTTGAGGGTGAGTGATTGTGAGGGTTAGGGTGAGTGAGGGGGTGAGTGTGAGTGAGTTTAGTGTTGAGGGTGAGTGATTGTGAGGGTTAGGGTGAGTGAGGGGGTGAGTGTGAGTGAGTTTAGTGTAGAGGGTGAGTGATTGTGATGGTTAGGGTGAGTGAGGGTGAGTGTGGATGAGTGGAGGTGAGTGAGGGGGAGAGTGTGAGTTTAGTGTAGAGAGTGGGTGATTGTGAGGGTTAGGGTGAGTGAGGGGGTGAGTGAGTTTAGTGTTGAGGGTGAGTGATTGTGAGGGTTAGGGTGAGTGAGTGAGTTTAGTGTTGAGGGTGAGTGATTGTGAGGGTTAGGGTGAGTGAGTGAGTTTAGTGTTGAGGGTGAGTGATTGTGAGGGTTAGGGTGAGTGAGTGAGGAGGTGAGTGTGAGGGTGTTTGCCGGTGCAGTTTGGGTGATTGAGGAGGTGAGTGTGGGGGTGAGTGAGGGATGAGTGGTGTTATGGAGGGTGAGTGAGGATTAGTGTGGGGGTGAGTGAAGGAGACTGAGTGCGGGGTTAGTGTGAGTGTGAGAGTATGGGGGTGAGTGAGGGTGAGTGTGACTGGGGGTGAAGGTGATTGAGGAGGTGAGTGAGAGTGAGGACGAGTTTGAGTGAGGGAGTGAGACCGTGAGTGATGTGGGTGGTGAGTTGAGGGTGAGTGAGTCGAGGAGGTGAGGCCGTGAGTGATGTGGGTGGTGAGTTGAAGGTGAGTCGAGGAGGTGAGGGTGAGGGAGTGAGACTGTGAGTGATGTGGGTGGTGAGTTGAGGGTGAGTGAGTGAGGGAGTGAGACCGTGAGTGATGTGGGTGGTGAGTTGAGGGTGAGTGAGTCGAGGAGGTGAGGCCGTGAGTGATGTGGGTGGTGAGTTGAAGGTGAGTGAGTCGAGGAGGTGAGGGTGAGGGAGTGAGACTGTGAGTGATGTGGGTGGTGAGTTGAGGGTGAGTGAGTGAGGGAGTGAGACCGTGAGTGATGTGGGTGGTGAGTTGAGGGTGAGTGAGTGAGTGAGGGAGACTGTGAGTGATGTGGGTGGTGAGTTGAGGGTGAGTGAGTGAGGGAGTGAGACTGTGAGTGATGTGGGTGGTGAGTTGAGGGTGAGTGAGTGAGTGAGGGAGACTGTGAGTGATGTGGGTGGTGAGTTGAGGGTGAGTGAGTGAGGGAGGGAGACTGTGAGTGATGTGGGTGGTGAGTTGAGGGTGAGTGAGTGAGGGAGTGAGAATGTGAGTGATGTGGGTGGTGAGTTGAGGGTGAGTGAGTGAGGGAGTGAGACTGTGAGTGATGTGGGTGGTGAGTTGAGGGTGAGTGAGTGAGGGAGTGAGACTGTGAGTGATGTGGGTGGTGAGTTGAAGGTGAGTGAGTGAGGGAGTGAGACTGTGAGTGATGTGGGTGGTGAGTTGAGGGTGAGTAAGTGAGGAGGTGAGAATGTGAGTGATGTGGGTGGTGAGTTGAGGGTGAGTGAGTCGAGGAGGTGAGACTGTGAGTGATGTGGGTGGTGAGTTGAGGGTGAGTGAGTCGAGGAGGTGAGACTGTGAGTGATGTGGGTGGTGAGTTGAGGGTGAGTGAGTGAGGGAGTGAGACTGTGAGTGATGTGGTGGTGAGTTGAGGGTGAGTGAGTGAGGGAGTGAGAATGTGAGTGATGTGGGTGGTGAGTTGAGGGTGAGTGAGTGAGGGAGTGAGACTGTGAGTGATGTGGGTGGTGAGTTGAAGGGTGAGTGAGTGAGGGAGTGAGACTGTGAGTGATGTGGGGTTGTGAGTTGAGGGTGAGTGAGTGAGGGAGTGAGACTGTGAGTGATGTGGTGTGAGTTGAGGGTGAGTGAGTGAGGAGGTGAGACTGTGAGTGATGTGGGTGGTGAGTTGAGGGTGAGTGAGTGAGGGAGTGAGACTGTGAGTGATTGGTGTGGTGAGTTGAGGGTGAGTGAGTGATGGAGTGAGACTGTGAGTGATGTGGGTGGGGAGTTGAGGGTGAGTGAGTGAGGGGAGTGAGACTGTGAGTGATGTTGGTGGTGGAGTTGAGGGTGAGTGAGGTGAGGGTAGGTGAGACTGTGAGTGATGTGGGTGGTGAGGTTGAGGGTGAGTGAGTGAGGGAGTGAGACTGTGAGTGATTGTGGGTGGTGAGTTGAGGGTGAGTGAGTGAGGGAGTGAGACGTGAGGTGATGGTGGTGTGAGTTTGAGGGTGAGTGAGTGAGGAGTGAGACTGTGAGTGATGTGGTGGTGAGTTGAGGGTGAGTGAGTGTAGGGAGTGAGACTGTGAGTGATTGGGGTGGTGAGTTGAGGGTGAGTGATTGAGGGAGTGAGACTGTTAGTGATGGTGGTGGTGAGTTGAGGTGAGTGAGTGAGGAGGTGAGACTGTGAGTGATGTGGGTGGTGAGTTGAGGGTGAGTGAGTCGAGGAGGTGAGGGTGAGGGAGTGAGACTGTGAGTGATGTGGGTGGTGAGTTGAGGGTGAGTGAGTGAGGGAGTGAGACTGTGAGTGATGTGATGGTGAGTTGAGGGTGAGTGAGTGAGGGAGTGAGACTGTGAGTGATGTGGGTGGTGAGTTGAGGGTGAGTGAGTGAGGGAGTGAGACTGTGAGTGATGTGGTGGTGAGTTGAGGGTGAGTGAGTGAGGAGGTGAGAATGTGAGTGATGTGGGTGGTGAGTTGAGGGTGAGTGAGTGAGGGAGTGAGACTGTGAGTGATGTGGTGGTGAGTTGAGGGTGAGTGAGTGAGGAGGTGAGAATGTGAGTGATGTGGGTGGTGAGTTGAGGGTGAGTGAGTGAGGGAGTGAGACTGTGAGTGATGTGGGTGGTGAGTTGAGGGTGAGTGAGTGAGGGAGTGAGACTGTGAGTGATGTGGGTGGTGAGTTGTAGGGTGAGTGAGTGAGGGAGTGAGACTGTGAGTGATGTGGTGGTGAGTTGAGGGTGAGTGAGTGAGGAGGTGAGAATGTGAGTGATGTGGGTGGTGAGTTGAGGGTGAGTGAGTGAGGGAGTGAGACTGTGAGTGATGTGGGTGGTGAGTTGAGGGTGAGTGAGTGAGGGAGTGAGACTGTGAGTGATGTGATGGTGAGTTGAGGGTGAGTGAGTGAGGGAGTGAGACTGTGAGTGATGTGGTGGTGAGTTGAGGGTGAGTGAGTGAGGAGGTGAGACTGTGAGTGATGTGGGTGGTGAGTTGAGGGTGAGTGAGTGAGGGGGTGAGACTGTGAGTGATGTGGGTGGTGAGTTGAGGGTGAGTGAGTCGAGGAGGTGAGGGTGAGGGAGTGAGACTGTGAGTGATGTGGGTGGTGAGTTGAGGGTGAGTGAGTGAGGGAGTGAGACTGGTGAGTGATGTGATGGTGAGTTGAGGGTGAGTGAGTGAGGGAGTGAGACTGTGAGTGATGTGATGGTGAGTTGAGGGTGAGTGAGTGAGGGAGTGAGACTGTGAGTGATGTGGGTGGTGAGTTGAGGGTGAGTGAGTGAGGGAGTGAGACTGTGAGTGATGTGGTGGTGAGTTGAGGGTGAGTGAGTGAGGGAGGTGAGACTGTGAGTGATGTGGTGGTGAGTTGAGGGTGAGTGAGGTGAGGAGGTGAGACTGTGAGTGATGTGGGTGGTGAGTTGAGGGTGAGTGAGTGAGGAGGGAGTGAGACTGTGAGTGATGTGGGTGGTGAGTTGAGGGTGAGTGAGTGAGGGAGTGAGACTGTGAGTGATGTGGTGGTGAGTTGAGGGTGAGTGAGTGAGGGAGTGAGACTGTGAGTGATGTGGGTGGTGAGTTGAGGGTGAGTGAGTGAGGGAGTGAGACTGTGAGTGATGTGGGTGGTGAGTTGAGGGTGAGTGAGTGAGGGAGTGAGACTGTGAGTGATGTGGGTGGTGAGTTGAGGGTGAGTGAGTGAGGGAGGTGAGACTGTGAGTGATGTGGGTGGTGAGTTGAGGGTGAGTGAGTGAGGGAGTGAGACTGTGAGTGATGTGGGTGGGTGAGTTGAGGGTGAGTGAGTGAGGGAGTGAGAACTGTGAGTGATGTGGGTGGTGAGTTGAGGGTGAGTGAGTGAGGGAGTGAGACTGTGAGTGATGTGGGTGGTGAGTTGAGGGTGAGTGAGTGAGGGAGTGAGACTGTGCGTGATGTGGGTGGTGAGTTGTAGGGTGAGTGAGTGAGGGAGTGAGACTGTGAGTGATGTGGTGGTGAGTTGAGGGTGGTGAGTGAGGAGGTGAGAATGTGAGTGATGTGGGTGGTTGAGTTGAGGGTGAGTGAGTGAGGGAGTGAGACTGTGAGTGATGTGGGTGGTGAGTTGAGGGTGAGTGAGTGAGGGAGTGAGACTGTGAGTGATGTGGGTGGTGAGTTGAGGGTGAGTGAGTCGAGGAGGTGAGATTGTGAGTGATGTGGGTGGTGAGTTGTAGGGTGAGTGAGTGAGGGAGTGAGACTGTGAGTGATGTGGATGGTGAGTTGAGGGTGAGTGAGTGAGGGAGTGAGAATGTGAGTGATGTGGGTGGTGAGTTGAGGGTGAGTGAGTGAGGGAGTGAGACTGTGAGTGATGTGATGGTGAGTTGAGGGTGAGTGAGTGAGGGAGTGAGACTGTGAGTGATGTGGATGGTGAGTTGAGGGTGAGTGAGTGAGGGAGTGAGACTGTGAGTGATGTGGGTGGTGAGTTGAGGGTGAGTGAGTGAGGGAGTGAGACTGTGAGTGATGTGGATGGTGAGTTGAGGGTGAGTGAGTGAGACTGTGAGTGATGTGGGTGGTGAGTTGAGGGTGAGTGAGTGAGGGAGTGAGACTGTGAGTGATGTGGTGGTGAGTTGAGGGTGAGTGAGTGAGGAGGTGAGACTGTGAGTGATGGGGTGGTGAGTTGAGGGTGAGTGAGTGAGGAGGTGAGACTGTGAGTGATGTGGATGGTGAGTTGAGGGTGAGTGAGTGAGGAGGTGAGACTGTGAGTGATGTGGGTGGTGAGTTGAGGGTGAGTGAGTGAGGGAGTGAGACTGTGAGTGATGTGGGTGGTGAGTTGAGGGTGAGTGAGTGAGGGAGTGAGACTGTGAGTGATGTGATGGTGAGTTGAGGCTGAGTGAGTGAGGGAGTGAGACTGTGAGTGATGTGGGTGGTGAGTTGAGGGTGAGTGAGTGAGGGAGTGAGAATGTGAGTGATGTGGGTGGTGAGTTGAGGGTGAGTGAGTGAGTGAGACTGTGAGTGATGTGGGTGGTGAGTTGAGGGTGAGTGAGTGAGGGAGTGAGACTGTGAGTGATGTGGTGGTGAGTTGAGGGTGAGTGAGTGAGGGAGTGAGACTGTGAGTGATGTGGGTGGTGAGTTGAGGGTGAGTGAGTGAGGGAGTGAGACTGTGAGTGATGTGGTGGTGAGTTGAGGGTGAGTGAGTGAGGGAGTGAGACTGTGAGTGATGTGGGTGGTGAGTTGAGGGTGAGTGAGTGAGTGAGGGAGACTGTGAGTGATGTGGGTGGTGAGTTGAGGGTGAGTGAGTGAGGGAGTGAGACTGTGAGTGATGTGGATGGTGAGTTGAGGGTGAGTGAGGGAGTGAGACTGTGAGTGATGTGGGTGGTGAGTTGAGGGTGAGTGAGTGAGGGAGTGAGACTGTGAGTGATGTGGGTGGTGAGTTGAGGGTGAGTGAGTGAGGGAGTGAGACTGTGAGTGATGTGGGTGGTGAGTTGAGGGTGAGTGAGTGAGTGAGACTGTGAGTGATGTGGGTGGTGAGTTGAGGGTGAGTGAGTCGAGGAGGTGAGGGTGTGTGATTGATGGATGGCGTGGGAGCGAGTGAGAGAGAGAGCAGCAAGCGTTCTGTGTGCTGGCAAGTCGCCCCTCGTCACGAAGACAACCCCTGTGCATCCCTGTGCTGTTCCACTGCTGGATGAAGGGCCTCCACACGCAGCGTGCACCGTGGGGGTAGCGTGACCATACTTCACCACGCCGGTTCAGTGCGTGTTCACGAAGGTGACAAGCGCAGACCTTGGGGGGCATTGCAGCGCAATGGACTCCTCCACCCTTCTGTTGCCCACAAAGTAGCCTCGCAGCCTGTAACACCTGTTATGCATGGTGGACGCCCATTTGAGCATTGGCCAGGGTCAACCCCACTTGGCTCCCGAGGTCTGACGAGGATTTGGTCAATGGTGAATTCGCGTTTCCTCCCACAGGCACAAACACGCAAGCAGCGACTGCTCTGTCGCCACGGGCGTTCTTTGACCATACTTCACCACGCGAGTCAGAGCGGGTTGGTGGAAGGGCAGTGGCCCAGGATCGGTCGTGGTGTCACGGACCACCCCGACGATTAGCCCGTGGCTCGGGAATCGATTCATAGCGCAGTGCGCTAACCGCAGCGCCACCGCTCCACACCCCCCCTCTCTATCTCTCCTCCCTGGCTCCTCCCCCCCTCTTACCTATTTCGCCTCTTGTCATGGCAGCCCTTTGCCCACTTCAGCAATTGTTTCTTGCTGTGGTTGTCCCACCTGACGACGGACGCTTGTGTTGCGCCCGAAACGTCGTGATTTAATTAAATTTCTACCTACGTGACTTTACCGAAAGAACCAAAGAGTGTGCAAGGGTTTGATTCGCGAGTAGAGTGCACTCCTCTGTGTGGGCTGCGTGCTTGGCCAACCTGCACGAGCAATGGTGGAGTACAATCGCCTCCCCCGTCGTTCTGTGTGGTTTAGGTTTGATATCTCCTGACACAAGCCACCCTTTCCAAACTGGGGTTTCACGCTGTGACATTAAGTCTCGTATTGTTATACTGGTAGGAACCTCCTGGTTACACCAGCCCACAGGGGATTATTGTGTCCGTCCGTCCGTCGTGTAGGGAGGGGCTGGGTGGGGAGGGAGGGGCTGGGTGGGGAGGGGAGGGTGGGGAGGGGCTGGGTGGGGAGGGGCTGGTCACCCCGTGGTGCCCTTATAAAACTCAACGTTTAACCTACTCACGCCGGCTTGTGCCCGCCCTCACAGTCGGGCATATTTGCGGAATACACCACGCCGCCGTTGACCCTGCAGGCCATTGACCGAGCAACCCAACGTTCCTGCCAGCTCCCTCCGCAGGAATGTGTTCATTGTCGAATGGTGGTGGTGAGTCGTTCACACGCTGCACCGTGGACTTGGGCTCGCCGAGTTTGACTCCCGGGCCAGGGCTGAACCTCACTCGGTGAGTTAAATCTGAACAGGTCCTTACCCCCCCAATCCTCTCCTCTCCCAGCCTTCGCTCACCCGAACTGATCGGCGTGGTGAAGTATGCACAAAACAACCCCTCGTGACCGCCCGGGGGCGCAACTGCCGACAGTGTTTCCACGGGGGGCGATGCAAGATCGGATTGTGGGCCACCCTCCTTTCTCACGACTCACTTTTACTGAAAGAGCGACGGTTTTAACGCCATATACGACACTTTGTTGTGTAACTAAACCTTTATTTATTTGACCAAGTAAAAGGGCGACTGAGCTGTAGCAGCTCTTTTTCAGAAGCGACCTGGCGATCACAAATGACAGCTCAACGAATTGGCTTATCGAGTGTAAATATATAGCAGCCAAATACTAGAATAGCACGATCCTAAATGTGGAGGGAAAACCCGGAGGGACCCGGAGAAAAATCCACGCGACCACTATGAGAGAGACACGCAAACTCCAAATATACAGCAGCAGCAGGCGTCAGGGTCATGATCGAACCCACGGCCTCCTGTATACTAGGCGAGGTAGTTAACATCTCGCTCTCACTATATAAGATTTTAGTTGCACGGCATAGAGTAAGTCTCACAGTGACAGTGTTAATAAAAGAGATTTAAAGGTACAATACTCAAAATTAATGTAGCATGCGCCTTGCTTTCGTGCGCAAAAAGCCTGGTGTTCAGCAACACCAGTAGCGCTATTATACATGCCAACTACGTAATTTTTGGAAATACTTTGTATTTTGTAACAATGTTTTTAGCATTTATGGTTAATTATTGGACGTATTTTTGTTTGTTATTTTTATATATATACTTGTTTAGCTGTTGATTCAGGGCCCCACTTGGTGGTTGCCTGGTCCCCTAGTTGTCAGAACGCTGCTGCCACACACCCTGGTGACCGACCCAGCCTGGGGAAGCCTCCACCCAGCAGTAGATTAACAAAGGAGCTGCAAACGACCTCCAAGCTCAACGAGCGTTGTCGTTGCTGCTATAAACATTTGTAAGTGGACATGCAAGACGCAATGACAGATGCCAGTCACAACAAGAACCACTTTAACGTGTCAAGACGTTGGGGCTGTTGAGATCACAAAGCGATGCGGAGAGGGGGGGGCTGTTGAGCTGTTGTGTGTGTGATCAACAGCCACAGCTTATTCGCCATCAATATTTCAATACAAAAAGAAGCAGCAATGCACACACGGGCCAACTGCACGTGCTTTAAGGGAGGCGGACTGTGCGCTCGCGAAGAAGGCGGCCTCCCTCTGTCGCTCTTGCTGGTGGCCTCTCTGGGGTGGTCCCCCCGCGGGGAGGAGATGTTGATTGATCGTCCCGGGTGGCCACTGTTTGACGGAGAGTCAGCTGAGAGGGGGGGGGGGCCCACAGTTGCAGGCAGTAAACGGGGGCGTGGAGACAACGACAGTAGCAGGTGGCCCGAGTCTGTGCGACTCTGCACCAAGACCCCTTTGGAAATGTAATTGCCCACCCCCCACACACACACACAGCCACCGCAGTCGTGAAGGCTGTGATTGGCATTTCATAAAAATAGCCAGCGGCACCTGTCCGGCTGTCTTTTGTGTCTCTTTTTATTTACTGATCTGGAAGCACGACCCAACGCGCCCTGAAAGAGCCCGATCTGCGTCCAGTGCTCGCTGAGCTGCATTGGCTTCCGGTTGCTGAGCGAACGCGTTCCGAGGTGCCACGAATGAGCCACAAGACCAAGGGACGTCATAAGTCGTCACGCGAACTCCGGTCATCCTCGCAGCTGCTTGCGGCGAGCCGTAGAACAAGGCGGTCACTGCTTCGTGCTTTGAGATACGCGTCTGCGGGCGTCTGGAACGCTCTTCCGATATTAGGAAGCCACGGGAGCTATGGTGCCGTCCATAAATGACGTCACGCACCTAGGGGGGGGTCAGACGTTTGTAACGATTTGTGACGAGGGGGGGGGGGTGAGAAATGTGACGTCACATCAAAATGCACAACTTTTAATAAACATAGACAACACGTTCTACTTAATTAAATAGACGTTGTAATAAATGTTTTCTCCTCCAACATCAGAGTGCAGCGCCACATTAAATACGCACCACAATAACAATAGTTTCAAGCGATTTGAAGCCTGTTTTATTTTTGGGGGGGAAGGGGGGGCAGAGCTTTGTGACGTCATATTTGAGGGGGGGCTGACTTTTTGTGACGGCGTGTGACGAAGGGGGGGGGGTAAAAAAATCGTCCAAAATCGCGTGACGTCATTTATGGACGGTCCCTATGCACTGTTTAATCTAGATTGAAAACTCATTTGTTTAAAACAGTTTTTTGTGTGTTTAGTTTATTGTCCTTTCCCCCCACATCTCCGATTAGTACGGTTGACTACGTACGGTGCGAAAGAAGTTCAACAAACATACAGTACATACATCTCGGCGGATCTCAGAAGCCCAGGTACGTGTTGAATCTGGTTGGCCCTTGGGTGCGAGACCGCCACCGCCACCACCACGACTTTCTGAGGTGCTGTGTAGCCATGGCTCACAGAGCAGCTCACGGCCACGGTGTGGCGTGGGGCTGCGGGGTGGATCAGCGGCAGTCCAGCAAACGGGTTGAGTCTACGGTTGAGTTCAGTTGATTGGATCTGGACATTATCTGGAGATGCAATTAATATGTCCAGACCTCTTGAGTGCCATTCATATGCGTGGTGGTTTTTGTCCGGGTTCTCTCTGTCCTCTCACCCTCTTGTCAACAAACTCTCACACTCTTTTCAACAAACTCTTGTGAATAAAACAATTCGCCAATGTAGCAGGGCCCGCTTATCACAGTGTCCTGGATATATAAAGCACATTATTGGCATCATATAATTAAGTAAGTTATGATTAGAAAGACGGTAGTTATTTTAAAACCAAAAACTATTTAATATTCTTCTTTCACGTGGCACATTGCAGAAATAAGCAATTGATGTTTGGAATGGGCACAAGGTTTATAAATCAATGTCTGGTGTGGTGAGCCACCTGACAACGCTGCTTCTCAGCTGGTGGATGCTGGTGCCGCCCCTGAATGGCCTTGGAAGGGCAGCAGGTGACTGTGTGCCGCTCCAGACAGTCTAATACAACTTAAGGCGTTCATCATTGACTCGTTCAGTCAGATTGCCGCGTGTAATGAAATGGCAATGCTGTGTCGTACATGAAGTTGTCACCTGAACAAATGCGCCAGGTTAATATTTCTGCAGCACACCGGTAATGTTGAAAAAGCAAACTGCTCACACTGAACAATTAGCTTAACAATTAGCTTAACAATTAGCTTCACAATTAGCTTAACAATTAGCTTCACAATTAGCTTCCACGTTTCGCTGGGAGTTAAAACCAGCATCATCAGGCGACTGCCCAAATCGCACTTACGCGTCCAGGCGCGCTCAGCCAATAGCCAACCGGCGCATTTGTTAACGTGACAGCTTTACATGGCTGCGCTGGGTGGACGAGGGTATGCGACACAAAACATTGGCATTTTACTCATGTGGCAATCTGACCCTAAAAATCGATTATAAATCATAACATTGGTCGCGAAAGCCTTGCACCGTGTAAGAACCAAGGGCGTGCTACTGAGCTGCCCAAATCCGTGAATGAGACTCCCTCTCAAGGCATGTTCAGAAATGTTTCCTCGTGCCTTCAAGTCCATACTCTCGCAGTTGCCTAAACCCCGGTGATAGCGGCGTTGTCTCCCACAGCAAGCAACGTCCCCAAGAGGCACACACATCTCTGTGCAATCGCCATCAATCACAGTTTACAGACAGCAGCGGCTAACAGCAGCGAGTGGCAGCAGAATGCAGGTGGCTGTGTTGACAGGGAGCTGTGTCGGCAGCGTCTCATCAAACACTGGTTGACTTCTGCTTTGAGCAAAACTAAGGCTTTGGCTGGCACCTGCGTCCAACGTCGCCGTAACTTATTGCCCGACCTGCTCTACAGGAGGATCGCAAGCCCAAGCAACGGGCGGCTCTCAAAGGCTGCGTGAACCCAGCTGTCAAACACGAGCCTTGAGGTTTTTCATCCATTAGAACAAAAGACTTTCCGGTTGACTGTGAGGATGCACTGTAGTTACGTCACTGTGACCGGACTGAAGGAAGCAATTGCACCCGAGAGAGAAAGGACGTCCGCCGCAGAGATGGAGCGATAAAATCGGCTCCTGTGCAGAGGAGGGGACACGTTGGGGAGGCCTTCATCCAGCGGTGGATTGATGACGGCTGATGACACGGTGACTTGACTGCCATACAAATTAATAAAGCGCTGGAGTAGGGTCGCTGCTGCACGCATAATTATAACTTTGAAGTCATCTTTCAATAATTATTAAATAGAATGTGTTAAACAGTGTTTAACGCATCGCACACAGTGCAGTGATCGTGGGGTCTCGGTGCGTTAAAGCATTTCATCTTCCAGACGCCTCACTGCTCTCTCGCTCTCACACACACAGGCTAGGGGTCAGTTGCATCAAGTACATTCGCTCACATTTCCCCCTTAGTGAATCAGTGTGAACTTAGGGAACATTTTCCCCGAAGGAATTTGATGCCACTGACTAAAGGACCAGACGACTGGGACTCTAGGACCAGACCAGGGCCCTAGGACTAGGCCTGGGGCCCTAGGCCTGTGCCAAGGCCCCAGGCCCTCCCGGCGTCTCACAGTGGAGGTCTCTCGAGCGGCCCCTCAGCCGTGGAGCGACCGAGCGGTGTGCGGGTCGTGGGGGAGGTTGTGTGGGCGGTGCGGGTCGTGGAGGTTGTGGGGGTCCTGGAGGTGGTGTAGCCAGCGCGACGCGCGGGCCGGGAGCCATGCGTCCTTGTAGAGGCCGAACCACACGGGCCGCTTCTCCTGCCCCGGTCGTGTCGCTGGCCCTGCCGCGACACGACATCCGGCACGACATCCGTAATGCGCCTCCTCCACATATTACGCAACCGAGTCGCGTCGCTGCAGCGTGGGCTGCATTTAAATGATTTCCAACTTGGGTTTAACAGCGTTTATGCATCGGCTCCGTCCCGACCGTCACCTCCTATTAGCACGGTTTGGCTACTGCATACGGTGCGAAAGAAGTTCGATGTACATACGTACATCAATCGGTTACGCAGGAAGCACAATAGCTCTCGGTGAGATGATCCAATTTTAATAAACCTTGCGTTCAGAGTTGTGTTGCTATTAGGGTCCCTTACGCTATATTTAACACCAAAGAACTGGACACATTCGTCAACAACACTGTGTGTGTGGCCTTAAATGGAAACATAAAAATCGGTGACATTTTGGGAAATGCACATAAGCTAACGAGCAGCAGATAAAACTGATCAAAGGGTTGCTCAAAACTTGACAACACTGGTCCCGATATCACTCGCCAGTGACGTTAGCTGTGACAAGGAATCCAATTTGGGGATCCAGATTCGTAGTGCGGCGGACTAACCGCTGTACCACCGCTCTGCCCCATTCAATTATCACGTGGCGTACACCATCCGAACATTTGACACAACAACAAAAACATTTTCGTAAAAATCCGAATCTCCCCCTTGGCTGGGCTTTTGTTCTTCGCCACGGAGACGTTGGGAACTGGCGGGCGAGCGCTCACGTGGGACGCAGGCGACGCGCGGGCGCTCCCAGCTGCCGTCGGGGCGGCACCGCGAGGTGGGGTTGGCGTGGCGCTGCAGGAAGCCGGCCCGGCACCGGTAGCGCACCGACGCGCCCACCGCGTAGCGGCCGTGCGGCGCGCCGGAGCACCGTGCGTTGCTTACGATGGGGGGGTGGCCGCACCACACGAGACCCGCTGCATACGCGCACACACACACACACGCGCACACACACATTCACACACATGCACACATGCACACACACATGCACACACACGCACACACACGCACACACACACACGCACACACACGCACACACACACACACGCACACACACGCGCACACACACACACACACGCGCACACGCACACACGCACACACACACATGCACACGCGCACGGACACACACACAGCCATGCATATGCACTCACATACATGCACACACACGCACGCACACGCACACACAGGCACGCACACACACACACGCACACACACACACACATGCACACGCGCACGGACACACATACAGGCACGCACACACGTACGCACGCACACACGCAGACACTTGCACGGACACACACACAGGCACGCACACACGTACGCACGCACACACGCACACACATGCATGTACGCATGTATAGCCTTAACGGTATTGGTGAGGCAAGTGCTGTTAGCGAGTAGCACCTATGAAGGCCAGCAGGGCACACGAGTGGGTGGGTAGCCAGCACCATGCCCGGCCACCTTTGACTCCCTAGCGGCGATGTTTTTTATACACTGCACCAGCTGTTCATTTGAGGCTGAGACGACCTGGGGGAGGCCCAGAATCAGTTCAGATAATCGTCACTGATGTTGGCCGTGAGGGGGAGTCGAACTCGGTTCTCCCGGTACGTAGCACAGCGCCCTGACCACAACTCCACCGCCTGTGCTTTATAGGGTCCACGGCTGAGCCTACAGACACGCAACGTGGTTGCATGCAACTGCATTGCTTATATGTAGATGTCTGTGCGCAACTAGTTGCACCCTGCAGCCCGTTGCTCACAAGTACAGACACTAGGCTTTCAAGCATCAATCTGCTCAGCCATTAGTAGCGGCGCGTTTAATCGCCATGTGACACATCGGCGAGCTGCCACCACTCGTCATGATTACGAACGTGCCCTGTTTGATCTCCTCGCTCAGACGCAGACAAAGCAGTTGCAGGCGATGACCACGCTGCTACGCTGATTTCGTGTTGACCTGGTCACTCCGGTATGGAGCCGGCTTCCATCTCGCCGACCAACGCAGCCTGCAAGCGGAGGCCGCTCGTTGCCAATCACGTTTGTGTGAGGGGCGTAGAACTCGGTGCTTCCAATTTTTCACGCACCAAGCTGTCGGTAAGCCCTGACTGTTTATTCCCCGATTCATTGTCAGGAAGCGGTAAGATTGTGTGGCAACGTGTGGCCCTGCCAAGGGTATTTGAAATCAGGAAATTAATTTACTGGTGACACTGCTGCTGCTGCTGCTGGTGTGCCCCCTTCTTCTCAGCACGTAAACACACATGGCGATTTTTGTTTGTGCTATGAAGAAGATTCCCCTCCCCCTAGCCCCTGTCTCAAGCGATTCTAATTTCCCGGTCGAAAGTCCCGCCGGGGAGTTTGCAGAACTGCGTTGGGAGAGTCACCGGCAGGAGGCGGACGCGATGCCGCGGGGAGCCGCAGCGGTGTCCGGGAGGCCAGCGGGCGTCCTGGCCGCGTCTCGCAGCAGAAGGGCAGGCGGTAGCTGCAGGGGACGTCGTTCCACTCACCCTCCTCGTGCCAGATGAGCACCACGCAGTCCTCGCCTGACGAGAAGAAGCTGTCGGGCTGCTGGGGCCGCCAGTGCTCAAAGCTCTGGAGCGAACAGAGATCCAGCGGTGATGGTGGTGCTGGCGGCGAATGTGGTTGTGGTGGAGGAAGTACCGGTGGTGATGGTGGTGGTGCGGTGGTGATGATGGTTGAGGTGATTGTGGTAGCCAACCAGCTGGTGCATCTGCAAGTCATCTCAGTTAGCAAGCCCATGACACCTGGGTCTGTGCCATGACCTTCTGTCAGCGAGTCTTCGACACTTCACGTGGCCTCAATGTGCACCTGGCCTGGTGCAGACGCTGTAGTGATGTCGCCGTCACTTAGTGGCGAACGGTAGCCAACCGTGCTCAGCGGAGGTGCAGGGGAAGGACAAGACACTGAACTGCTTTTTGTGTTAAGCTTGTTGTCCATCCCGCAACTTCCGATTAGCACTGTTGACTACGTACGGTGTGAAAGAAGTTCAACATATTGCCCATAGACTAACACTACCCATAGACTAACACTACCCATAGACTCAACACTGCCCATAGACTCAACACTGCCCATAGACTCAACACTGCCCATAGACTCAACACTACCCATAGACTCAACACTGCCCATAGACTCAACACTGCCCATAGACTCAACACTGCCCATAGACTCAACACTACCCATAGACTCAACACTGCCCATAGACTCAACACTGCCCATAGACTCAACACTGCACCTCTGATTAACACAGTTGGCTTCGTACGTACATACTTATGGTGGTGGTAGCAACGTAACAATATCGGTGGTGGTAATGTTGATGGTGATTAATGGTATATATATTTTGACAAAATTTGACAATCGATGACTGGTCTGTGTCCATTTGTGAATATGAAATGTGGATATCATCAACATAAGCTGCCAGAGGCATATGCATGGGTTCTATTTGTACTAATATTGTACTATTTGTACCAATATTGGTAATATTTGTACTGTTGTACTATTTGTACTTATATTGTACTATGTGTACTAATATTGACATAAATCAAAGTTTAAAGTTAGATGGCCAATGTTTGAAAAATGAGCATGATCGTGTTCGGTGTTCTCTCTTTTTGTGTAAACGCTTCCACCCGGTTTCTCCTTTATTTTAGATTTCTATATTCTTTGGGTCTTTCGGTAAAGCCACGTAGATATCAATGTGGCTTTACCGAAAAAAATGAATTCCTGCAGTCACGAAAGCTTTAAGTCAACATTTAGCTATATAATTAAGTTCTAGATTTGAAGCTTTCGTGACTGCAAGGATTCATATTCTTAGGTTTTTTCGGTAAAGTCACGTAGGTAAAAAATAAAAAATAAAATTAATAAAAGTTAAATAAAAATAAGCACGCTTGCTGTATCAAGTAAATGATACAGCAATCGTGCTGTGACGGTTCAACCTGAAGACGGAAGCTTGTGTTGCCTCCGAAACGTCGTGATTAATTTTTATTTTTATTTTACTTTTATTAATTTTAACTTTAATTTTTTACCTACGTGACTTTACCGAAAAAACCTAAGAATATATAATTAAGTTATTTGTAAATTCAAATTAGTTTTCAAATTGTATCTGTTTTAATCCCACTCTATCCCAATGTTATTCATGAATCTCTTCTTGCTCCCTAGTATTTCCATCCGCGCTTAAGGTAGCCGCAGCCACCCTGGTTCTCAATAATCCTTCACTTAATCCTGACAGGCCAGCATACTACCACCCCATTTCAAATCTTACATTCTGATCGAAGGTCATTGAAGGTGCCATTTACAACCATCGAATTAATCGTTTGCTTCAATGTAACCTCAATGGCCAGCTACTTCTTGTTAACAACTCTCTCCTCGTATCTACTGACTGTGGACCTCTCTTTCTGTGGTTGCCCTGGATGCATCGTCTGCGTGTGACACCACTGATCTTTCCGGAGTACCCTCCCACTCCACGTCCGACAAATCGACTTTATCGCATTAGTAGCATTATTATTCAAATCCCAACTAAAGGCATTTTATTCAGCTGGAAATTAGCTGATAAACGAACGTATTGGCGATACACCGGTGGTGCGCGGTATGAACATTCATCCCAACAATTATTCATTTTCCCGCGATTTGCAACCCTCGGTCAGAAAATCTTTGTGGGGTGGTGGAGCGTCAAAATTCATTCTCGTGATTTTGAAGCAGTTGGAAGGCGAACATCAGTTCAAATGTTGCTTTTAGAACAGTTTCCACGAGGACCGGACTGTCACGCTGCACCGGTGCACCGCCAATACGTCCGGATAGAAAATCACATGTCGGACATTTCGACCGATTGATCTAAATTAGTCATCACTTTTATTGGCATTCTACCACCCTCCTGTGAAAGTTTCCTTGTGTGAGAAGAAATTTAGATTGTGCGCCGATTGCCCTTGCCAGAGTGAGGAGCTACCCCTTCGTATCATGAATAATTTCTGTTTCTTGATTAATTTATTCATTTTTAGTTTCTGAGAGTTTCAATTACTTAACAACAATAATAATTGCTATCAATGAGATTTCGCCCTTCATGTGATTATGCATATCGTTATTGTACAGTGTTGTGAGATGCAATTAGCATAAATGACGATGTACGCAAAAATTGAAATTATTATTATTAATCGTCCAAAAATATGATTTTCAACAAACGCCAGAAAGGGTGGAAACTCATTGGCAACCTGCTCGGTTGTCCTCACCAGCTGGGAGCCGTCGCTCCAGCGGAAGTCTCCCTCGGAGGAGCGGTCGTTGAGTCCAATCCACTGGTAGTCGGAGCCGAGGGCTGTGGGGGAACGGAGACACGAGAAGGGTGGCGGTCCGAAGCTGCTCTCTCCGTTCGAGGCAAACTGGGCGGTCGCTGAGGACACTTCACCCACTACTTTGGGCTCGAGTAGCGGGGCGAATGTTCAGGGGGGAGTTTCATTGCTCACTGGATATTTCACTGGTTGTTGGGCTGAAGTCGGTGGCGCATGATGTTTTTAAAACTAAAACGTCACGGTACTTGAGTTCTAAATCTTGTGGGTTTCCTCTCCAACACACAACCGGTGTGCTGAACGAGCAACTAACTGGCATCTTTTGTTTACGTGACAAACCTTATGGATTGTCTGTGTCGGTCGTGGCGGGTTTAACGACACAATTATATTTACACGATCTAAACACCCAAAACATCAATTATGGATAGTGTTGGTCGTGAAAACCTATGTGTTCAACTGACTATTTAAAATACGTTGTATTTAACTGGATAAGACCCAATGAACTGCTATATAACTCTTTTTCAGAAGCCACCTGGCTAACACAATTGATAGCTCAATGAGGTGGCTTATCGTCATGTGGATATTTATAGCAGCCAAATACTCTAAACGCACGTGGATTGTAAATGTGGAGGGAAAAACCGGAGGGCCTAGAGAAAAATTAATGCGACCACAGGGAGAACACGCAAACTCCAAATATAGAGCAGGCGTCAGGGTCGGGATCGAACCCACAATCTCCTACATACCAGGCGAGGTAGTTAACATCTAATAGCCACTGTTGCGCCCGCAGCCTTAGCGATAGGTATACTTAACGTGGTGTTACGGGTGCAGAAATGTCTTCTGGGTGTGGTGCGATTTGTGTAATTTGCAATGACCTACAGTTCTTAAATACTCTGCTTGTGAAATTATGAATTTTCTTAAACTAATCATGATCATCAACATCATCACGATCATCATCTCGCTCGCTACCTTCACATTCTCAACATCCAAGAGTTCACCTGAGACTGAAAGACCCGAGGTGGACTTTGCAACCTCAAAATTGATCCACCAACGAGCACAAGCAGCAGGATCAGGGTTATGATTATGGGATAAGACTGACCTAGCGATGATCTTGACTTGGGCCCCGCGATGCCAACCGACCTCTACTCCGCCGCCACCCCATGGCCAGGCCCCCCACACTCACCAAGGATGAAGTTGTTTTCGTCGCGGGAGGCGACGCTTGCCAGGTGGCCTCCCACGGAGCGGCACGCCTCCTCTGCCTCGGCCCAGGGCAGCCGGTCTGCCACGTAGCGGTAGCAGCGCCCCCCAAAGCCGTGCCAGCCGGGCTCACAGGACACCGCCGCCACGACTGGGGGACGCACAAGAGAGGGGGCGCGGGGGAGAGGGGGCGCGGGGGAGAGGGGGCATGGGGGAGAGGGAGCGCGCAAGAGAGGGGACACGGGGGAGAGGGGGCGCGGGGGAGAGGGGGAGAGGGAAGGAGGGAAAAACAGCACACGTTAGTACACATACATGGAGAAACTGACATAGTGACTCATTGAAAACAAAGATCCCCCATATAGCCTCAAGAGACTTTTTGGGGAAAGTGCTGTTAGCTAGTAGCAACTATGAAGGCCGGCACGGCACACGAGGGGGTGAGTGACCAACACCACGCCTGGCCGCCTTTATCTCCCCTGTGGCGATTATTACAAACCACACCAGGTACTAATTTAGGGCTGAGTCGACCTAGGGGATGCCCAGGACCGGTTCAAATAATTGCCACTGGTGTTGGCCAGTTCGTAGCGCAGTGCGCCAACCACTACGCGACCGCTCCCCACCAGTGGCGGCTCCTGCAAAATCTCTCAGGGGGGGCAAATGTCTGGATGATTGATAAGGATAAGGTCCACCCATGCAATGGATAAATTAACAGCTTAAGCATGTAAAGGCAACTTCACTTCTTTAATATTAATGAAAAATAAAGTGACTCTTACAATACATCTTGTTTGTTTCTATACTCACTATTAAAACAAACCACTCAAGTTTATTTTATTAAAGATTCCACTAGGTGGCGATAAATTATATTGTTGGATGAAACGTGCTAACGTATGATGACGTTAGCACGTATGATGACGTAAGCACGTTAGTGCATGCCCTCCAGGAAGCCATAGAGAATGCATTGGAGCGCCCGCCGTTCGAAAAAAAACATCTTTCAATGTCAGTCTATGGGGCCACTCGGGGTGATTCTCAGCCAAAGTGAAATCGCCGAAAAAGAGGCGGTATTCCACAGAACGTGACATGACGCTGATTGGACTATATCCAGAGGCACAGTGACGGCTAGCGTGACTCTGTGGTTGAATGACATTGGTGGTGCGTCGCCCAATCGCCCTAATGAAGAAACCGCCCCTGCTCCCCACACTCACATTGACACACACACTGGCATATTGACCCACAATGACACACACAAACACTGATACAATTACACACATAGACTACACTGACCAAAGAAAGACAACGATTCTCTGTGTAACCTTAACAGACTATTGGGGCAAGAGCTGTTAGCAGGCATCCAATAAGGCCGGAATGGCGAATGAGGGGATGGTATGGCCAGCACCATGCCCGGCCACCTTTGTCTCCCCAATGTTTAAACATCGCACCAGGTACTCATTTAAGACTGAGTCGACCTAGGGGAGTTCCAGGACCAGTTCACATTATCGTCAACGATATTGGCCGTGAGCAGGTATTGAACTCAGGTTACTGAGTTTATAAGCAGTGTGATAACCACTGCACGATGTTTTGCCCTCACCTGCCTCACTCACCGCTCACACCGTCACGTATTTATCTCACCTGTCCCACTCACCTGTCATGCCAGTAACTGTTGCACCCTCGCCTGTCACCACCCCCACATGCTTGGTGTCAGTTCCGGTTAGTTCCAAAGACACGGATCCGAGAGGCACGGTTTTTGAAGACTGAAACTTAGGAGACGAGAATTCTGGAGACTCAAGTCCAGGAGATGTGGATACAGAAGACTGCATCTCAGGAGAAGTGGACCCTGGAGACTTGAACGCAGGAGGCACGGAGACAGGGGGCTGAACCTCAGGAGACACTAATCCAGGAGATTCGGGTCCAGGTGTGCCTGTTGAGATGTAGGTGTGTCCAGGCGTCCAGGAGGTGTGCGGTGCAGGCCCCGCCATCCCTAACCCCTCCTCCAGGTGCCCACTCCCTGGCTCCAAGCCGGCTCCATGGGGAGCGGTGGGGGACTCTGTGGGAGATGCAGGCGATGAAAGTGAGGGAGGAGGCGTGGGTGCCTCTGTCGTAGCCCTGCTGCCGCCCTCCAAGCGCCCCCCGACCTTCACCAGGTTAAGATTTTCGCCCTTGAGGTCGATGTTGGCCCCCCGCAAAGTTCCAGGACCCATGTGCTCAGTGGTGAAATCACCGAGGCTAAACTGCACCTGCCTGTGCTCCAGCACCTCTGGCAAGGGCTCAAAGGATTCCCTGTGCTCATGGTGGTGAGAGTCTGGTCGGGAGTCTGCTGTAAGGCCTCGTGAGGAGGTGTCTCTCGAGGCGTCTGCGAGAGAGTCTGGTGAGGAGTCTGATGGAGAATATCTTGAGGAGTCCAGTAGAAAGTGTGGTATGAAATCCAGTGGAGAGTTGAGAGTTGGATCGGTTGTGTGGCCTGGTGGAGAGTCTTGTGAGGAGGCTGCTGGAACATTTAATGTAGCACCTGATAGAGATTCTAATATAAATTTTGGTGGAAACCCTGCTGGTGTGTAGCCTTGTGCAAAGTCTTTTGTGGATTCTGGTCGAAAGGATGGCGGCGTATCTTGTATAAAACCTACTGTGTAGGCCGGTGGAGACTCTTCTGAAAACCTTGCCGTTTCTCTTCCTGGCTCCGTGCGAACGCTGCTCCGCTCTGCGATGAGATCACCCGTATTCACCGCTCCGTCTACCAACGCCGAGCTTGGTAGCAAGCGCAGCGTCTCCTCGGCGCCGAAGATGCCGCCGAGTCGGCTCAAGTGCCCCTCCGCCGGCGCCGCTGTGGAAGTCGCTGTGGTGGTGGCGGTGGCTACGGCAGTGGAAAATTGCACGGACGACACGTTTTTGTCAAAATCCTCCCTCAGGGCGTAGTCCACCGAGAAGCCACTACCTTCGGCCAAGCCGCTGGGCTCCTTCTCTTCCTCACCGTTTGGGTGCGAGGTCTCTGGAGCTGCACGGGACAGCGAGGAGGGCACGCGGAGGTCGGGGAGCTGAGGAAACATCCCCGCACCCTCTTCCCCCTGGAGCCTCCCTACCAGGGAATCTGCACTTCCCTCCTCCTCATGGGTGCCACCATGATGAGAGTGCAGGGCTCCTCCCACCCCCAGAGTTGAGATCTCCTCGAGGCCTTGCAGGCCGACCATGGTTGACGGGGTGGCCCCAGGCGCAGTTAAAGGTGGGACTCGAGGTGGGGTCGGAGGGGAGGACGTCGTCCTCGTGACCTCGCCTGGATGGTGAGAGGTTCCGTCAACTGCCTCATCTTTCAGGTCCACCTCCCCGATCACCTCCTCGTTCATCACATTCTCATGCTCCACCACCTCATCCGCCAACTCACCCAACGTGCCCAGAATCCACCCCGACCCCTCAATCATCGCCGTCTCGGCGGGGCTGAGGGACTCCGCGTAGGAGGGTAACACAATTGCAGGCCCCCTCTGGATCCCTTCCGTTGCTATGGCGATGATGACTGTGGTCTCCTCCCCACTTCCCTCCACGTCCTCGGTGGTCGTTGCTTTCAAAAATCCCGCCTCCCCGATCACCTCCTTCTCCTCCTCCTCCGCTGGATCTGTTTTCACCTCTACTGCCATCTTCTCATGCACCTCCTTGTCCCCTCTGCCCTCTCTTCCATTAGCAACGACTTCAGCGACAGAAGGAGGAACGTCGTTTGTCGTGATGGGAGACGTCAACAGATTATCTGTCTGCGTCGGAAAGACGTTGAGCGATGTGGCCCCTTCAGACAGAATCATCACTGCCTCCTCAGGCCTAGGGACAATAACGTCCAGCCCACGGTTGACGGCCGTCATGTCAGGGTTGACCCCTTGCTGACCGAGCGGGGGTTCTGCGAGAAAAAAAAGAGCGAGAGGTGGATTTAAGCGTCAGCAGCTGCCAAAGTAAAATAAAATCTGTCATCAACAGCTACCGCCATCATTTGGGGAGTCATCATCACCGTAGCTTTTTTAACAAGCCAAGTGATTTCCTACTAAACTAAAAGAATATTTTAAAACTAAACTATTTTTGTTTTACCAGCTAAGGTCCACTAAGCTATATATCTCTTTTTCAGAAGTGACCTGGCCAAAAGTGATATCTCAACGAAGTGGCTTAACACATGGACATTTATAACAGCCAAATACTCTAAACGCATGTTGATTGATTCTAATTGTGGAGGGGAAAACCGCAGAATCCGGTGAAAAAAATCCACGCGACCATGGGGAGAACATGCAGACGCCAAATATACAGGCATCAGGGTTGGGATCGAACCCACGCACTGCATACCAGGGGAGGAAGATAACGTCTCACGACCGTGACGTCACTTAAATAAATAAAGTATATCAGTTCAAATTGCATCAATTCCCAAGGTTGGGAAAGGCAGTAAAACATGACCATCAGTGTGGGTTCCGTCAAGTGTGGTCTACAGGGGACCTATCGGCTCACGTGACTCATCTAGAGCTCAAGTCTTGACCATGCTGGAGGGTCTATGATCAAAACTTCTTTCGCACCGTACCTAGCCAACCGTGTGCTGATCAGAGGAGCATGTCATCGCGTTGGGAATCGCACACTTCTTTCCAAGCTGCCATCATTTGGCATCCACTCTCCTGCAATCTGCAGGCTTGAATTGCCAGATTTCTGACTGAAAGGTCACAATGTGGATATCTTCAACGTCAACTCTGGCGTTCCGCAAGGATCTGTTTTGGTCTGCAACACTACTACGTCTTCTTTGTATTCGCTTTTTGTATTTAGTTTGTTGTCCTTTCCCCACACCTCTTATTAGTGCGGTTGACTAAGTATAGTGTGAAAGAAGTTCAACATACAGTACTTACTGCCCATCGACTACCACTACCCATAGACTCAACACTGAATCTCCGATTATCATGGTTGACTACGTACGGTGCAAAATAAGTTCAAAAACACACGTACATCATTAGACCTCCTTTGCCAGTACCAAAGTATAATAATAGAGGTTTTCCCCTTTTTTTCTGGCAACAAAACTGAAACCTTTTTACAAGGAATCATGTCTGCATTAACCACAATACTTGTGGTCAAAATGCAAACAAACAAAAAACACACTCTGATAATATATGCATTGTCCTTGAAACTGATTGGGCCACACCAGAGACGGCTTTCTTTTGAGCCTCGTCTTTTTTTTTTGGCGTCCTCTGGTCGAGCACCAATTGAGACGAGGCTCAAAAGAAAGCCGTCTCTGGTGTGGACCAATCAGTTTCAAGGACAATTTAAATATTATCAGTGTGTTTTTTGTTTGGATTTTGACCACAAGTATTGTGGTTAATGCACACATGATTCCTTGTAAAAAGGTTTCAGTTTTGTTGCCAGAAAAAAAGGGGGGAACCCCTATTATTACACACATACATATATCACGATTGCTGAACCAACACATAAACTATCCACTGACAATCAGCACTGTTAAGGTTGCGATAGATAAGAGTTAACAGTTTTTTTAGGAAGGTTATTATTATTATGAATATACATACTTACATATTGATAAAATTATTTTACACTCACAATATGATCCACTGCTCTGCAGATGACAGCAAACTTACATGTAGTGCTCAGAAGCCCGTGATTACAAACTAAATACTCACCCCGTAGTGCAATGGGACTCAGTAATGGATTTCATACGAGTGATGTTTACCAGAGTCCAGAGAACACTGACTCCCCCCGCCCCTTGCACTCCCTGCCCCCCACACTCAAAACATTGCGTTTCATCTCCATCTCCCCGCGTCTCCTGGCATCTCCTGGAATCTCTCCGCGTCTCCCCGCGTCTCCCCGTGTCTCCCGTGTCTCCTGGCATCTCTGTGCATCTCCCCACATCTCCTCGCGTCTCCCAGCGTCTCCCCGCGTCTCAACTCGCACCAAAAGATTTTGGACAGCACTCGGGACCGGGTGTGTGCTGGGGTGTGGAGGCACTACGTAGAGATTATCATTGGGTCCATCTCATGACCACAAATTCTTAATTTCATCACGGCTGTGTGAAATCTGTTACACTAACAGACGAACGCCTGTTCTCGACGATGATTCTTGTAGCGTGATTGGAATGATGAGGATTGTTTGGATCTGGATGCGATTTCGTGCACCCGCCTCTTTGTTTTCCAGCCTCCAGGGACCCCTTGAGATGCTTGGGGGTCCCCCCTGAAGCGTTGGCTTGAGGTTGCTGGAGCCTCACGCCGCCTACCATGGGCCGAGCCAACGCAATGGGCAACCCACGGCTGGGAACAGGCTGGTGACGTCACGGGGGTGGGGGCAGGCGCGCAACCATCTTGGGGGGAGTGGGGAGGCACGTGGCAACGTTGTCCCACGCATCAGAGGCCCAGTCAGCCACAGGGGGCCCCGAATCAACAAGATGAAGAAGTCAACTAAATGTTGAGATAATTTATTTAAAACTCATTTTATTCGCTAGAACTACCTGCGGTCTACCATGGACCAAACCCGATTAATGCATCTGGTTTTTGTATCAATAGAGCAGCATAAAGTTGCGTGATCCATCCCCTTTGAGGATATCCTTGTCTGATGGGGACGGCATGAAAGCAAGACGCAGGATAACTTAATTGTGAGTATCGTCACAATTTTAATCATTTTTATTACTACCGTCCCCGTGAGACCGTCTCCCTCTAAACCCCAATTCACGGTGCAACTTGAATCATCTATATATAGTCATAATCTACGTATTATTGTCCGTGGGGTTAAAAACATTCGTAGCTATTTCAGTCAAAAGTGAGTTGGGAGAAATGAGGGAGCGGCCTACAGTCGGATCTTCCACAGCCCCCCACCCACCCCACCGTTGAAATAGGTCGCTGTGCCCCTGAGTGCAGGTGGAGGGGTGGTGGTCATTGCCAGGGTCTCTTCTTCTCTTGCTCACTCTATGGGCAACTCGGGAGCTGCCCCCCCCTCACTCCAACGCGATATTTTCAAAAAAGCCAAATGTCGTATTCAAATCCCCACAAATCACTTCCACATGGCACAGTTGTAATTTCCCTAAGTGAGGTCCCAGGCTTCACTGTGCCCTGCTCCACAACTCTGTAGCCCATAATGGAGGAGGCCGCGGGTGGCATCGAGACCAGAGCGTTGAGCCGGCACGACTGAGAGCCTGGGTTCGAATCTGGGTTTCAGCCACTGCCTGCGATTAAACTGGGCTCTCAAGTGGAGCGAGTTGCTGGTCTCAGCCCTGTCACCAATAACTGCTTTCCTCAAATTAAATTTGGTTACGCATTCAAGGTACACACATGCAGCACTGCCATGCGATGAACATTGCTCCCATAATGCAGGGCGGATGGGGAAACTGCCACCCTGTATTGTGGTGTATCAAATATCGATTGAAGGGATCTCTCCGGTAGCTCTGTGACATCCGCTTCTGTGGGGCGCATTCTCCAACACAGAGGGTCGCACTGCCTTGCGAGGGATCCGAAAGGATTCTTCGTCTCACGGACGATGCAACCCTGACAGCGTGATCCGAATATAATCCGGGGAGACCGACAGAGACCATGCCAACCACACCGTCATCAACACCAAAGACAAAGCTTCCCCGTATAGCCTACAACAGACTGTTGGGAGCAAGTGCTGTTAGCAAGCAGCACCTATGAAGGCCGGCATGGCACACTAGGGGGTGCGTGGTCAGCACCACGCCCGGACACCTTCGTTTCCCTAGTAGTGATGTTTAAAGACCTTACCAGGTACTCATTTGAGGCTGAGGCGATCTAGGGGAGGCCCACGACCGATTCAGATATTCGTCACTGCTGGTGGCTGTAAGTGGGAATCGAATTTGGGTCGCTGGGTCCGAAGCGCAGTGCGCTAACCGCTACACTACCACTCCCCATCATCAACACCAACCACACCTACATCAGCATCAACCACACCATCATGAACATCAACCATACCCTTATCAACAACATCATCATCATCTGTTACTTGATGGTGCACCACATTAGTCTAAATGAGTTCCGGAGCACCACACTATACTTCGGTTCCAAGGGTCCTCACTCACTTTGCGATGGCCGGGCTAAGCTCCCCTTCTCAAGGTGGGCAGGCTGGGTCCCAGTCAGCTGCCTCCACTGGGTCCCCGGTGGCTCCATCCGGGTCTGAACGGCCTTCGTAGTTCCGGCCATCACCGAGAGATGGGGACTGATCACGCTGAGGATAAACCCACCTTCCACCACGGGCTCTCCCGCCATGACCCCCTTTCTCCACGGTGACTCCCTCTCTCCCGCCATGACCCCCTCTCTCCCCGTCACCCGGTTCACCCACGATGACTCCAGCAGGATCAGCATGGGGCTCTCTGTGACCTCCTTCCGTGGAGCCGGGCTCAGCGTTGCCATGGCTGGACCATCGGGGCCGGCCTCGTCAGCGACCACTCGGGCCACATTCCGTGTCGTCGTCGTGGTCATCGCCATCGTCTCCTCTCGGTCATCTTGGGCCTGGGGGCGACCGATAGGGTCGGACGGTGGAGATGGCGGCAGGGGCATGGGGACGGCAAGGATGGGGGTCTCTGACACAATGGCTCTGGTCGCCGACCCCTCGGGGGAGCCGTCTCCGCTGGTGCCGTCCGACCCCACGTCCCCCCCCAGCGCCGTCTCCGCTATCCTTCGATCGGCCTTGATCCAATTCCACTGGCGGTCGGGCCGCCTGCTCCTGATGATGATGATGATGGGGCAGCTGCCTCAATGTTGTTGTTGTGGTGGTGGTGGTGGCTGGCGTTCCGAGACTGGTCGTCATCTGCCTGGGGCCTGTCCCAGCCTCCCATGGGAGAAAATTGGAGCAAACCGGCGTCCTCCACAGTAACGTGCCACTTCTTCTCTGACTCAACTACCAGGCTCTCGGAAGCTGCTGGTCCCGAGTCCTCGGGTTCGCCGACCCCTAATGTCGCTTCCTTGAAGTCCCCTCCTCGTCCTCCGGGCCCCAGTGTTGTGGCTGGGACTCCCGTGCGAGGACCTGACCCCTCAAGGGGTCCGTGGAGTCCCCGCGAGTCCCCGGTTTCCAGGGAGGTCACATAGACCGGGTCCTGGGTGCCACGAGTGGAGCTGGGGTCTAAGTTCGAGTGAACGGATGGCGACGAGGTGGAGGCCTTGTTTTCTGAGCGGAGACATCGTCACCATCACTGTCATTATTGCGATCATCTTTAACATCGTCATTACAATCATCATCATCATCAGAGGCAGCATCTTACATCTTAACCCCCACAGCCACACCTCAAGGGCCAACTTTCGCCAAGCGTCCCACTTTCTCCACTACTGATCCCCCTGCCCCTTACTCCCTCTACCCCCGACCTACAGAAGACGCTTGCACCTCCAATTAGCACGGTCGGCTACATACGGCACGAAAGCAGTTCCACGCGCAAGCTCTATGAATATTCTTCAAGCGCAGGCATCACCCTTGTGAATGAGTCCCTTTCCTGGCCCTTCGCGAGTTCCCACACAGTTACGCAACACAAGCCTGTTGGAACCTCGATCTCACTACTGAGCAACCCCACCCTGCACCCCCCCCCCATGCCCCCCTCACTCCACTGTCTCATACCCCGGTAGCAGTAGACCCCGTAGTGGGTCTCCGGCTCGGGGAAGCCGCTCTGGTCGGGGTGCCGGTGCAGGGTGCGAACGCCGGGCTCCCCGCCGCCGCAGTTGTCGCGTGGGTGTGTGATGGGGTAGCGCACGCTGCCGTCGGCGAGCCAGCCGGCGTCGCAGCGGTCCAGGCCGTGGTGGTGCCATGCCGAGTAGAGCTGCCCCACCGTGGCCAGGGAAGCGCCGGCGGCGGCGCAAGCGAGCACCGCCGCGGGGAACGGGAGCGTGCCGGCCCGCTCCAGGTAGTAGACCTCGCCTGAAGGGGGGGGGGGGAGGGAAGGGGGGAGGGAGGTGGCGGCAGGGTCAGTGGCGGGGGGTCGGAGGGATCGGTGGCTCCCGGGGACCACAGCACTGGAAGTCAATTTGTCAAGAGATGGAGTGGCCAGTGGATCGAGTGGATCTAAGGATTGTTTCGATCATGGATGAAGGGAACGGTGGAACGATTCATTGAAGGATTGGGACATCTGATGATAGAGGCATAGGATCCAGGGATTGAGGCATCGGAGCGTCCAACTGCTACTTCCAGGTAGGGGTTCTCATTAACATAATTAGCACGGTTGGCTGCGCACGGCGCAAAAGAAGTTCAACGTACCGAGGGGACCTCACCTGTGTGAGAGAAGGGGGTGACGCCAGGGTCAAACTAAACACTAAACTACGAATCATTTTTATTTTACCTGGTAAGGCCCACTAAGCTGCCATGTAGCGATTTTTTTAGAAGCGACCTGGCTACCACAAATGATAGCTCAACAAAGTGGCTTATCATGACGTGGACATTTATAGCAGCCGAATACTCTAAATGTGTGATGTTGCTTCTAAACGTGGAGGGGAAAACCAGAGGACCCGAGGAAATATCCACCGAACTACGGGGAGAGAGACACGCAAACTCCAGGCATCAGGGTCGGGATTGACCACACGACCTCCTGTATACCAGGTGAGGGAGTTAACATCTCGCCTTCAGCGACAGGGATCGAGGGATCAGAGGCTCTCAGGGGACTGCAGGACCGGAGGTCGATTTGCCAAGGGATGGAGTGGTCGCTGGATCGAGTGGATCTAAGGAATTTTTGAGATTGGGGATGAAGGGAACGGTGGATCTATTATAATTGAAGGATTGAGAAATCAGATGATGGAGGAATATGGGAATTGAAGGATTTAGGGATTGAGGGATTCGGAGTGTACAACTGCGAGCTCCAGGTAGAGGACGTCACCCGTGTGGTGGAGGAAGGTGATGACGTAGTTAGCGACTGGGATCAAGAGATTGAGGGATGGGAGGATAAGTGCATCTGGGAATCAGAGGACAAATGGATCAGGTGATGGAGGGATTTAGGAATAGTGGAATTGGGATATCTTAACATAATTTATATAGCCCCTTAATCAAGGCACTTTCCACAGAAGTATCAACGGTACACCGTGTAAATGTAATGGTGGAGATGAGGTAAATGAAATAGATGAGAGGAAGCAATGTCAAATAGATGACAGTAAATGATGATTAATTGATTGAATTAATTAATTGTGTTAATGAATGATAGCCATGCAAATATGAAGAGGGAACAGGAACGGTGGTGGTTATGAGGGGGAGACTAAGGGGGGTCGTGGGGTGAGCTGGGGAACAATCAGTGTGAGTTTTGAGTGAGGAGTGGAAACTTAGTGAGCGAAGGTGACTGGTTCATGTGGAGCAGGAAGTTTGTTCCAGTGAAGGGGGGGGGGGAGAAGAGAGAAAGAGACAACGTGGATTGAGCACCAGGAGGAGGAGGAACAGAGATACAGTGAAGACTGAGAAGGTAGAGGGTGAGAAGACGACCTCGAAAGATCCAAGAGGGGCAAGATATGATGAGCTGGAGATGGAAGGATTGTGAACGCAGGAATCAAGAGGATCAAGGGCTCAAGGAATTGAGAATCTGTCCGATTGAGGGAACAGAAGGTTTAGGGAGATCAAGGATTCAAAGGCAGGGCCGAGAGATTGTTGAGGGATCACGGTATCGGGGGATTGAAGAATTGGGGGTTATGAGGGATCGGGGGATCAAGAGACGGTCGGTCCGAGAGGTCGCAGGGCCCCAGGATTGTACCCTGGTTGTCCCCCGTGTAGCAGTAGGCGTCGTACGTCTCCCAGGGGTTGCGCACTCCGTAGGACCGCACCCCGGGACCCGCGCGCAGGTCCCCGTAGCAGCCAGGCCTCGGCACCACCACCGGGTACCTGGGAAATGCACGCACGCCGAAACCTGTTCAGCTTGAGTCGACCTAGCAGAGGCCCAGCCCAGGTCTGGACACGGGTGGTGGTGGTGGTGGTGGTGACGAGGCGGCACATTGGTGGCGCGTTCACCCAGCTTGTTTGCAAAGGTTCCACGGATCTAACACAGCGGCCGCCCTGGTTAATGCTGCACCGTGCGGAAAAACCGTAATCATGCGACCACGTGCCGTCTGCCTTGCAGTGGACGGTAACAACCCCCCCTGTGACGTCCCCCCCCCTTCTCTTCTTCTTGCCCCAACTCCCAAACTCTCCCTGATACCCTCATCTTCGTTAGGGTTGGCTACACTTCCCTTCCCCCGTCACCCCCCCCCCCCCCCCAACCAGTGGCTACTGACCAGACGCTGTCATCGTTGCTAGAGGGCTACTGACTGGACGCTGCCATCATTGAAGGGGGGCTACTGACCGGACGCTGCCATCGTTAAGCCACCCGGCGTCGCACTGATGGAGGCCGTCGTGCAGAGCGGCCGACAGCTGCAGGGGGCTCGCTAACACCCCCCCTGCTCGCTCACATGCCTCCCGAGCCCCCCGCAAGTTGAGCGCGTAGCGACCCTGGGGGGCCCGGTAATGGAACACCACGCCTGATGGGGGGAGGGGGGGGGGAGAGGGGGAATTGTGTTATCGCACAGTGATGGTGGTGTAGGTGATGTAGGAAGTGGTTGTGTTGATGGTGGTGGCGATGATGGTGGTAGTGCTCGTGATGGTGGTAGTGGTGGTGGTGGTGTTGATGGTGAACGTGATAGTGGTAGTGATGGTATAACAACTACAGGGACATCTCAAGGATTATTCAACATCGCCTTGCCAGGCATGCTGAGGAGAGGCTTGCGGAGCCCCAATGTGGTTTCAGGCCAAGACAGTCCTGCATATGCCATATTTTCTGTCCTTCTGTAATGTGAAGACATATCCGGGTTGCTGTTGGATTACACCTCGTACGATGATTGGCTCTGCCGGTCCTGGCCCATAGCCAATGGGGAGAAGTCTAGGGGCGTAGCCCTGACGTAATGGGAATGTGACATCTGTAAGTAGAGGATTGGATCTGCTGGCTTTATCCACAGCCAATGGGGGGACGAGTCAGGGGCGTGGTCCTGGGAGCGTACCATGGAGTCTAGAAGATTCCATAGAGGCTAACCAGGATTGGTGGAAAGGTACCACGTGACCCAGGTATTAGAAGGGGTGGAGACGAACAACACGTGGTCAGATCTGGAACGAACGGAGGGTGAGGCCACGCTGGAGCGGGGTCCGGGCTGCCACGTGGCCGCGCGTGTCTCTCTCTCTATCCCTCTCACGCTGTCTGTCAGCAGCGTGAAGGAGTAAGATCGGAGTGTTGTGAACGAAAGACAAATAAAGACCGGATTCCAGAAGTCGCTTCCACGACCTTTATTACACTTCTGCTATAGTAGATCTCTGCATCTCTGCTTTATTTACCTGGTCAAGGCCTATGATACCATCAATAGGCCTGGGCTCTGGGTTGTTCTTTATGCATTCAGAGTCCCTGACTCACTGCTCACAATTGTTAAGGACCTTCATGATGGTGGGCAAGCCCGGGTAAAACTACGTGGCTGGGAGTCAGAGCCATTCCCTGTTCACCTTGGGGTGCGACAGGGATGTCCTCTGGCTCCCAAATAATTGTACATATTTTTTGACCACGTAGTTTGTGAAGCCCTTTATGGCTGTACCGGAGGAATCTCCATCTGATACAGATACAATGAGAGGCTGATCGATGCCCAGGTGCAGTCAAGGGATAGCTCACTATCGGTCAACCATGTTATGTATTCTGATGATCTGGTGATTGCTGTTCACTCAGAGGAGGAGTTGGAGGCACTGCTGCTGAACCTGGAGCGTGCCACTAAGAGACCCATCAAAAATAAGCACCTGCCTCAGTATGTTGTGCCATCAAACACTCCACCTACTCAATTCCCCATTGGTGATAGGGCAGTTGTGGAGAGAGTGGAGAGTTTTCCATACCTGGGCAGTGTGCTTGTGACCAGCTCAGGTTTGACAGCAGAGGTCTCACTCCGAATTAGTCGAGCGGCAATATCTTTTCATCGGATGCTTAACACTGCATGGAAGCGACCCGATCTGTCGCTCCACACGAACCTTTGGGTCTTATCGGCCATGGTCATGCGCTCCCTTCCCTTTGCTTGCGAAACGTGGACCCCCTTAATGGAACATCTTCGCTGGTTAGAAACATTTAGGCTGACCTGCCTACGATCCATCCTAGGTTTAATCAGGCTGGATTGTGTGAGGAGCTCACAAATCCTTGAAAGATCTGGGCAAAGTCCCATCGGTGAGCTCCTACGGCAAGCACAGCTGCGTTCGCTGGGTCATCTAGCCCGCATGCCCAGCCACCGCATGCCTAAACAGCTTGTGTTCAGCTGAATAGAGGGGGCTAAACAGGTGTGGTACCGGCTAGAGAAGAGATGGAGTGATGTGGTACAGGAGGACGTGGAGCTGAGTGGACTTGCCGATGACTGGTACCAACGGCGTCAAGATCGGCCTCCAAGCAGGAGGCTCGTGAAGGACGCTACTGGGAAGTTGGAGGCAGTCGCTCTCCAGCAACAATGGAAGGCAGAGGAGCGACGCTCACACCATTGAGCGGAGCGTCGGGCGGCTAAAGCACAGCAAGTTGTCACAGTAGGGGGCACAGGTGGTGCATCAGCCACTCATCTCAGTCAGTCAACCCATGGCACCTGGGTCTGTCCCGTAACCTCCTGCTAGCGGGTGTTCAACACTTCATGTCGCGTTAAAGTGCACTTAGCCTGGCACAAGCACCGTGGTGACATCACCGCCACTTAGTGGCGAATTCCGGTTGTTGTTTTTGTTGATGGTGGAGGTGATGGTGGTAGTGGTGGTGTTGATGGTGGAGGTGATGGTGGAGGTGATGGTGGTGTTGATAGTGGAGGTCATGGTGGTAGTGGTGGTGTTGATGGTGGAGGTGATGGTGGAGGTGATGGTGGTGTTGATAGTGGAGGTCATGGTGGTAGTGGTGGTGTTAATGGTGGAGGTGATGGTGGTAGTGGTGGTGTTGATGGTGGTGTGGATGGTGGCAGTGGTGGTGTTGATGGTGGATATGGTGGTGGTAGTAGTGGTTTTGATAGTGGTGTTGTTGATGGTGGTGTTGACTGTGGTCGTGGTGGTGTTGATGGTGGTGGAGAAGCCGGGCGTGGTGCTGAGCTGGTCTTCATAGCTGCTACATGGCTAACATCACTTGCCCCAACAGTCTGTCACAGGCTATATGGGGGATCTTTGTCTTTGGTGATGCTAATAGTGGAGGTAGTGGTGGCATTGGTGATGATAATGGAGGTGGTGGTGGCGGTGTTCATGGTGGTGGAGGTGGTAGTGGTGTTGACAATGGTGGTGGTGGTTGTGGAGGTCGTGGTGGTGATGTGGCCATGTTATTGATGATGGTTGTGGTGCTGACGCTAATAATAGTGATGACGCTACTGCTGCTGCTGCTGCGTTTGATGCAAGTGGTCATGATGACGATCATGTGGCTTGTGCTGATGATGACGCTGCTACAGGTGATGATGGTCATTGCGCTGGATTGATGATGATGATGCAACTTATGATCCTCATGATGTGGCTGCTGTAACTGATGCTAATGTTGATGCTGTTACTAATGTTGCTAGTGACGATGCTACCGATATTGGTGATGCAACCAATGTTGCCATCAATGATGCTTCTACTGACATATCTGATGATTATGATACTGCTACTGATGATACTGCTGCTACTGATGCTGATGAGACTTCTGCTGATGATGCTGCTGCTACTGCTACTGATGATGATGCTACTGCTGATGCTGATGAGACTTCTGCTGATGATGCTGCTGCTACTGATGCTGATGAGACTTCTGCTGATGATGCTGCTGCTACTGCTACTGATGCTGCTGCTACTGATGATGATGCTACTACTGATGCTGCTGCTACTGCTGCTGCTGCTGATGATGATGCTGCTGCCGATGATGAATCTACGAACGATGACGCTGCCCCCCCCCGCCCCTTCCCCCCTCCCCCACACCCCCTCCCCCACCTTCCACGTATAGCCTCACGGCCCTCTTCAGGTCCTCCAGGCCCATCATGGCCTCGCAGAGGTAGAGCCCTCGGTCCCCGTCCCGGAGGTCCCCCAGAGCCAGGGACCCGTCCCGGGGGTCCGTGGCGAATGCAGGCAGGGAGGCGCGCCCCTCGTAGGCGGGGGCCACCGCCTCGCGACTCCCCGCCGCCGCCGCCACCGCCGCGGGCAGCGGCCCCCCGCCACGCTCGCGGCTCAGCAGGGTCCACTTGACGCGGGGCAGCGGGGGCAGCGGGGGCAGCCTCTCCTCCGCGGAGGGCGGCGGCAGCGGGGGCACGGGGCAGGGCAGCAGTGCGGAGCCCGAGAGGGACGCTCGCACCTCCACCACGGGCAGCCACGCCGCCGACACAGAGCCTGGGAGAGCCGTGTTGGGGATGGGAGACACGGGGGGGATGGGGGTCGGACGAGGTCGGGGGGGGATGGGAGGGGTTGGAGGGGGATGGGGGGTCGGACGGGGTCGGGGGGTTGGGGGGGATGGGGGTGGGGGAGATGGAAGTCGGAGGGGCATGGGGGGGGGGGGGGTCACAGGAATCCACTACCTGACTAACTAATTAATCAGAATCAGTATTGAAATTGTCGGAATCCGGTGAACTATGAAGCTCTTCTTCACAGCAATGAATTGCCACTGTGAAGGTGCCGCCGCAGCTGGCAGAAGCGTCTCCACTGAAGGGAGCTGTGGGGCCCGTGTGGTCTCCCCGTCCACGCCAGTCACACCAGTAGCGGTGCCCACACCCGACGTATCCATCGATGATTTTGGGGCCCAGCATCAACGACAACACAACACCGGTGCAATGCGTCATCTCCGGTAAAGAGGGTGGATGTTGGGGAGCGTTATCGCAGCGGTTAGCGCACTGCGCTACGAACCCCGCGACCCAAGTTGGATTCCCGCTCACGGCCAACACCGGTGACGATTATTTCAAACTGGTCCTGGGTTTCCCCTAGGTCGACTCCGCCTCCAAATGAGTACCTGCTGCGGTGTGTAGTAAACATCGCCACTCGGAGCACAGAGGCGGCCGGGCGAGCTGTTCGCCACCCACCACGTCGTGTCAGAGGTCGCAATCGGGTACCCGATACCCGTACCCTACCCGATACCCGGCTACCCGACCCTGGTGCGGCCGGGTACGGGTAGGCCGTGAGTCACTGGTGAGTAACCGTTTGTCACTCATTTCCCAACGTCTTGTCTCTTCTCAAAATTCAAGTTCCTAGAATCCTTCCACCCGCGCCTGCAACATGGCTTCATCCCAGAGGTCGCAATCAGGTACCCGATACCCGTACCCTACCCGATACCCGGCAACCCGTACCCGGCCGGGTATCGGGTACGGGTACCCGTTTGCGACCCTGGTGCGGCCGGGTACGGGTAAGGAATCAAAACCCGTTTGCGACCTCTGCGTCGAACGGCACTTGCCCCAAATCTGCTCAGGCTACAGGGTGAATCTTTGTCTTGGAGGGGGGGGGGGGAGTCCCCACCCCTCCCCCCAACCCTGTGGATGCGCAACACTGCAGCCCAGGACACGCTCGGACACGCGCTGAGTGGCACCCACGCTGCGCGAGAGAAGCGGTGACGACGACGACGAGGATGAAGATGTTGGCCCAGGTCGCAGCTGCTGCCTCAGCTGTGCGAGGCCCCGCCATGTCTCGCTGAGTCTGGGAAAGAGTCGGGAGGGGCGGGGGGGCATGTTGGATTTATTTCGCACCATACGTAGCCAACCGTGATAATCGTAGGTGCAGTGTTGAGTTTATGGGAGTTTATGGGCAGTGTTGCATCTATGTGTAATATGAGGATATATCCGGCTCACTGACGTATCACAACTCGTCATGGTGATTGGCTCTGCCGTTCCTGGTTTACAGCCAATGGGGGGAAGCCTGGGGGCATGGCCCTGACGTGATGGAAAGGTGACAGCTATAAGGATTGGTTCTGCTGGCTTTGGCCACAGCCAATGGGGAGATGAGTCAGGGGCGTGGTCTCGGGCGCTGACGAGGGAGCCTGGAAGATTCCATGCTGGCTAACGTGGATTGGCGGAAACGTACCACGTGACCCGGGTATTAAATAGGGGTGGAGACGAACGACATGTGGTCAGAACGGGAACGAACAGAGGAAGGGGGCCACGCGGGAGCGGGGCTCCGAGTTGCCACGTGGCAGTGCGTCTTTCTCTGTCTATCTGTCCCTCTCACGCTGCCTATCAGCAGCGTGAAGTAAATGTAACATAAGTTGAATAAAAGACGGATTCCAGAAGTCGTCTCAACGAGCTTTATTACATATGGGTAGTGTTGAGGCTATGGGCAGTGTTGAATCTATGGGTAGTGTTGAGTCTATGGGTAGTGTTGAATCTATGAGCAGTGTTGAATATATGGGAAGTGCTGAATCTCCATAAGAGTTTTTTTTTGGGTTAGATCGCGTAAATCTATAAATGTGTCGTTAAAACCCGCCACCACCCGACACAGCCAACTCGTAAGGGTTGTCACGTAAACGGAACGTGGCCAATTCGTCACTAGTACAGCACTAACCGGTGGAGAGCCAAGCCACAACGTTTACAATCTGACTAGTTGGCTGTGTCGGGTGGTGGCGGGTTTTAACGACACATTTATATATTTATGCGATCTAACCCAAAAAAAGCCTCTATTATGGATGATATTGGTCGAGAAAGCCTATGTGTTGAAGTGTTGAATCTATGGGTAGTGTTAGTTTATGGGCAGTATCTATGTATGTTGAACTTCTTTCGCACGGTACGTAGCCAACCGTGCTAAATTGGAGGCGACGTATCAGGCACGTGGCCTGCAAGCATTAGGGCATTCGTCTGCTGCCAGGAGGGGGGGGGGCGATGTTGCCGCTGCTGCTGCTGCTGCTCCTGCTGCTGCTGCGTGTGATCCCGATCGAATCGGTTCGCGAGTCACGACTCCTGATGATGAGTTACTCCCACAGACAGGGCCCGCGGGGTGGGGGGGAGGGGGGTATCGATCCGCGTGAGGCCCGATGAGATCGTTCATTAGCGGTGACATTTTTGTTTGAAATTTGGCAAAATATTGAACCTCGACAGCGCCTGCTGCGTCACGCAACTTGGGGCCTCGCTCCTGGCGAACGGCGTCACGGGGTCTTTAACGTCCCCGGGTTGTAGCACGGTGGGCAGGGCGGGGGGGCTACAGAAGTAGCAGCAGCAACGGTGCAGACACCACGTGACGTGCACTAATTACCACTAATTGGCTGCTGTCGGGTCGAGCTACCCCGACTGCCCCCCCCCCCACACTCCCTGCCCCCCCCCCCACACTCCCTGCCCCCCACTTCCCCTCGACTTCCCTGCGGGGGCGGGGGGGGGGTCTCTCGACGCTTTCATTCTCTGCCAGGAGCCGCGCCGTTAAGCCGGGGGGTGGGGCACGCAGGGTGGCGAGATCGCACTGTGCAACAACTCGCTTCGTGTGTCCCTGGGTCGTGTTAGCTCCTAACTGCTTGTGCCTCAACAGTGCAGAGAATGGCGATCATTCCCCACAAAATTTGCTTTTGTGACCAGCACAGTGATATTTTGAAATGTACATATTTTCAATGAGAAAACGGGCGAATTCGTGTCTTTTCGTTAACGTAAAGTCATAAAACAACAACATATGAATCAAAATTGACATGTATTTACACTGAAGGAATACAAAAATTACTACATAGTGTTACTAGTGCCGTGACGCCCTCCACCATCGAGGCCGCCGCTGATTACACCTCTACGCGCACGACATCACCATCACCATCATCGCTATCGATCTTATAGTCATCATGACCATCACCATCATCGCTATCGATCTTATAGTCATCATGACCATCACCATCATCACCATCGCTATCGATCTTATAGTCATCATGACCATCATCACCATTGCTATCGATCTTATAGTCATCATCACCATCATCACCATCGCTATCGATCTTATTGTCATTGTGACCATCACCATCATCGCTATCGATCTTATAGTCATCATGACCATCACCATCATCACCATCGCTATCGATCTTATAGTCATCATGACCATCATCCATCATCGCTATCGATCTTATAGTCATCATGACCATCACCATCATCACTATCGATCTTATATTCATCATGACCATCATCACCATCGCTATCGATCTTATAGTCATCACCATCACCATCATCACCATCGCTATCGATCTTATAGTCATCATGACCATCATCACCATCGCTATCGATCTTATCATCATCACCATCACCATCATCACCATCGCTATCGATCTTATCACCATCACCATCATCACCATCGCTATCGATCTTATAGTCATCATGACCATCATCACCATCGCTATCGATCTTATCATCATCACCATCACCATCATCGCTATCGATCTTATAGTCATCATGACCATCATGACCATCACCATCATCACTATCGATCTTATTGTCATCACGATCATCATCATCATCATCGCTATCGATCTTATTGTCATCATGACCATCATCATCCATCATCGCTATTGATCTTATTGTCATCACGACCATCATTATCACCATCATCGCTATCGATCTTAGAGTCATCATGACCATCATCATCCATCATCGCTATCGATCTTATTGTCATTATGACCATCATGACCATCACCATCATCGCTATCGATCTTATCATCATCATCGCTATCGATCTTACTGTCATCACGACCATCATCATCACCATGATATTATCACACCATCATCACGATCATCAATATCGGGCATTTGATGATCCACTGCTGTCACCGTGGTTCGCCCGCACTGCGCTACGAACCCGGTGACCAGAGTTCGATTCCTGCTCACGGCCAACAGCGATGCCGCCCCTAGGTCTACTCAGCCTTAAATGTGCGTGCGGCGTGTATACATCGGCATTGGGGAGACAAAGGCGGCCGGGTGTCGTGATAGCCATCCACCCCCCCGCCCCCCGCGTTCCTTGACTCAATTGGGATCGAGATGGCAGCCCCACGATAACTCGGAAGTCTTGGGGCTCGGCGCGACTTTCCTGAGTAAACTTGCTGACTCGTGAACAGTGGTGGACACTGTAATGATGATGGACACTGTAATGATGATGAACACTGTAATGATGATGAACACTCCGTGTACTCACGGGAAATGCTGACGTGACAAGGGAACGCGTTCGCGGACTCACCACACTCACCATCACACTCACCATCACACTCACCCACTCACCATCACACTCACCACACTCACCATCACACTCACCCACTCACCATCACACTCACCCACTCACCATCACACTCACCCGCTCACCATGACACTCACCATCACACTCACCATCACACTCACCCACTCACCATGACGCTCACCCACTCACCATGACACTCATCCGTTCACTATCACGCTCACTATGACACTCACCCACTCACCATCACACTCACCCACTCACCATCACACTCACCCGCTCACCATGACACTCACCATCACACTCACCACACGCACCATGTCACTCACCCACTCACCATCACACTCACCCGCTCAACATTACACTCACCCACTCACACTCACCCACTCACCATCACACTCACCCACTCACACTCACCATGACGCTCACCCACTCACCATCACACTCACCACACTCACCATGACACTCACCCACTCACCATCATACTCACCCGCTCAACATTACACTCACCCACTCACACTCACCCACTCACCATCACACTCACCCACTCACACTCACCCACTCACCATGACGCTCACCCACTCACCATCACACTCACCCACTCACCATCACACTCACCCACTCACCGTCACACTCACCCACTCACCTCACCATCACACTCACCCACTCACCATTCCACTCACCCACTCACCTCACCATCACACTCACCCGCTCTTCATCACACTCACCCAGTCACCTCACCATCACACTCACCCACTCACCATCAGCCTCATCATTACACTCACCCACTCACAGTCACACTCACCATCACACTTATCTACTCACCATCATACACATTCACTCACTCACCATCACACTCACCATCACACGCACTCACTCACCATCACACTCACCTACTCACCATCACACGCACCCACTCACCATCACACTCATAATCACACTCACATACCCACACTCACCCACAATCACACTCAACCACTCACCATCACACTCACATCACACTCTCCCACAATCACACTCACCATCACACTCACCATCACACTCACATCACACTCTCCCACAATCACACTCACCATCACACTCACCATCACACTCGCCATCACACTCACCACACTCGCCACCACACTCACCCACTCACCATCACACTCACCCACTCACCACCACACTCGCCATCACACTCACCCACTCACCATCACACTCACCCACTCACCACCACACTCACCCACTCACCATCACACTCACCCACTCACCACCACACTCACCCACTCACCATCACACTCTCCCACTCACCACCAGACTCACCCACTCACCATCACACTCACCCACTCACCACCACACTCGCCATCACACTCACCCACTCACCATCACACTCACCCACTCACCACCACACTCACCCACTCACCATCACACTCACCCACTCACCACCAGACTCACCCACTCACCATCACACTCACCCACTCACCACCACACTCGCCATCACACTCACCCACTCACCATCACACGCACCCACTCACCATCACACTCACCCACTCACCATCACACTCACCCACTCACCACCAGACTCACCCACTCACCATCACACTCACCCACTCACCACCACACTCACCACACTCGCCATCACACTCACCCACTCACCATCACACTCACCCACTCACCACCACACTCACCATCACACTCACCCACTCACCACCACACTCACCCACTCACCATCACACTCACCCACTCACCACCAGACTCACCCACTCACCATCACACTCACCCACTCACCACCACACTCGCCATCACACTCACCCACTCACCACCACACTCACCCACTCACCATCACACTCACCCACTCACCACCACACTCACCCACTCACCATCACACTCTCCCACTCACCACCAGACTCACCCACTCACCATCACACTCACCCACTCACCACCACACTCGCCATCACACTCACCCACTCACCATCACACTCACCCACTCACCACCACACTCACCCACTCACCATCACCCTCACCCACTCACCACCACACTCGCCATCACACTCACCCACTCACCATCACACGCACCCACTCACCATCACACTCACCCACTCACCACCACACTCGCCATCACACTCACCCACTCACCATCACACTCACCCACTCACCACCACACTCACCCACTCACCATCACACTCACCCACTCACCATCACACTCACCATACGCACTTTCCACCATACTATTAAATCAACTGACAATTGATATGTACAGTACACTCACCACTATATACGATTACATACAATATACTCACACTCACCATGGCACACGCTCACCGTTACGTACGCTCACCAGGACACGCACACCGTGTCTTCGTGATTTGATAGAGAGAGAGAAATCAATACAAATACAAAGCTCCCCCGTTATAGCCTCACCAGATTGTTGGGGCAAGTGCTGGGAGCGAGCACACGAGGGGGTGGGTGGCCAGCACCACGCCCATCCGCCTTTGTCTCCCCATTGCTTATGTCTTTGTGACGCATCATGTGCCGATTTAAGGCTGAGTCGACCTAGGTGCGGGACTCGAACTTCGTCTCCGGTGCCCACTCCCCGCGACACCCCCACACCCGGCCGGTCTCGTGCTGTTTGTGGCTCAAGTTGTTGACGTTTCGTCTGGAGCAGGCGAGCAAGTTCCGAGCAAAGCACTCTACCCCCCCCCCAACAGGACAAAGATGCCCCGTATAGCCTTAGCAGACTCTTGGGGCAAGTGCTGGTAGCGAGCACACGAGGGGGTGGGGGGCGGGTGGCCAGAACCATTTGAGGCTGAGTCGACCTAGGGGAGGCGCAGGACCGGTTCAGATGATAATCGTCACTGGTATTTGGTGGCCGTGAGCGGGAATCGAATTGGGGTCGCAGGGTTCCTAGCGCAGTGCGCTAACCTCTGCGCCACCGCTCCCCACACACACGCACACACTCGCACAGACACCTTATCTCGCCTATGTTTACACAGTCCCTTACGTGAGTACACACACACACTGACACACACACTGACACACACACTGACACACACACACTGACACACACTCACACGCTCACTTACACACTGACACACTCAAACACTCGCTTACACACTGACACACACTGACACACACTCGCTTACACGCTCACTTACACACTGACACACACACACACACTGACGCACACACCCACACTGACACACACACACTGACACACACACTGACACACACTCGCTTACACACTCACTTACACACTGACACACACACACTGACACACACACTGACACACACACTCGCTTACACGCTCACTTACACACTGACACACACACACTGACACACACACTGACACACACTCACACACTGACACACACACTGACACACACTCACACACTCGCTTACACGCTCACTTACACACTGACACACACACACACACTGACACACACTCACACACTTCCATACTGACACATTCACACTGACACACACACATACTGACACACACTCACACTCTCGCTTACACACTGACCGAACCCACGACCTCCTGCATGCCAGGCGAGGTAGTTAACATCTCCTAGCCACCGTGATGATGATGAGAGAGAGAGAGAGACGCCAACTCCAAATATACAGCAGCAGCAGCAGGCGTCAGGGTCGTGACCGAGCCCACGACCTCCTGTAGACCAGTCGAGGTAGTTAACATCTCCTAGCCACCGTGATGATGATGGGAGAGAGAGAGACACGCCAACTCCAAATATGCATCAGCAGCAGCAGCAGGCGTCAGGGTCGTGACCGAGCCCACGACCTCCTGTAGACCAGTCGAGGTAGTTAACATCTCCAAGCCACCGTGATGATGATGGTGAGAGAGAGAGACACGCAAACTCCAAATATACAGCAGCAGCAGCAGGCGTCAGGGTCGGGACCGAGCCCACGCGCTCACGGAATGGTCGTGAGCACGGCCCTTGAGCACGGTGAGCTGTGCAACGTGGGCAGACGGGACGATGGTTGTGACGCCGATGATGGAAGGAGGGAATTCCAGAGTGGAGCGGTGTGAGGGAATAAGCAGAGAGAGGGGCGAGTTTACCTGCAGTGTGACGGGTGAGTGAGTGGGCTCGTGGGTGATTGAGTAGTAGGTGAGTGTATATGGGGAGCGGTAGCGTGACGGTCCGAACCCGGCCATCCGAGTTCGATTCCTGCTCACGGCCAACACCGCACCTCCGATTACCACCGTTGGCTACGTACGGTGCGAACGAAGTTCAACATACATACCAGTGGCGATTACCTGAACCGGTCCTGGGCCTCCCCTAGGTCGACTCAGCCTCAAATGAGTGCCTGGGGCGGTGTGTAAACATCGCCACTGGTGCTGGCCACCCACCCCCTCGTGTGCCGTGCCGGCCTTCAAGGGTACTCGCTGACAGCACTTGCCCCAACATACTGTCACAGGCTATACGGGGCATCTTTGTCGTTGCCTTACGCTGCTGCCTGCTGCTGCTGCTGCGTTGGCGGTGCAGACGACCAATGCAGCCCGCTGCGTGTCAGCAGCGCTTCGTGTCGCCTCAAAATAAAATGTATAAGAGACGACGTTTCGGGCAACGCTCTTTCATGGGTGCAAATCCCATGAAATATAATATCGTCTGTCTCTCTCTCGTCATCTCACTCGCGTTCATACATTGAAAAGGGTGGGACACAGTTTCAGTTTCATGTATTAGGTAGAGCCCTGTGAGCCATTCGGCTCTTGAATCGGGTGCAACCGCAACAAACAGAAAACATGAACAAGAAACATCTTAAAGTGACACACAATTGTCATGTCTCCTCCTGGCCTCGAATGAGCTCACACCCACGCTGTAATATTGTGGACCTTATATCGTGATATCGTCACATCGCGGCCAAGGACATCCTCTCACCTGGGTCGCTGGGTCGACGATGCCCCGCGTGTGGGTCCCAGAGTCTTGAGGAGTCTTGAGACGTCTTGATATGAATGTCGTCTCGCTTCGGAGTCTCTGCAGAGACCTCCGTTGTGTCTCTCTGTGCCGCTGTCGTCCTGTGTCGTTCGCGAGGGAGACAACTCGGGGTGAGGATTGTGAAGAGGGCGTCACTCTCAAACAAACTCTACCCTCGTTCAGCTTCCTCCATCAACCATCACCGCATCGTCGACGTCGCCATCACCATTGATGCTCCTTCACTCACTCACTCACTCCCCACCAGATCGTGAATTGGAATGAACGGTGCCACGTGACCCCTGTTTTCTGTGCTATTTATCGAGATACTGTATCATCATCATCAGCATCACAAGTTGTTACAACAATTAGCGTTGCTATTAAGAAGGGCGGAGAGGCGCCACCTCAGTGAGTGGAGGAGCGAGGAGCTGGGGGGGGGGTCCCGGGGCTCATTTAAGAGAAGAGCTGAGAGCGGGAGGCGGGGCCAACGAGTCAAGTGGGCGGGGTTAGCGAGTCAATTGGGCGGGGTTAGCGAGTCAAGTGGGCGGGGTTAGCGAGTCAAGTGGGCGGGGTTAGCGAGTCAAGTGGGCGGGGTTAGCGAGTCAAGTGGGCGGGGTTAGCGAGTCAAGTGGGCGGGGTTAGCGAGTCAAGTGGGCGGGGTTAGCGAGTCAAGTGGGCGGGGTTAGCGAGGTTCATAGCGCAGCGTAGCGCTAACCACGACACTACTGCTCCCCCCACACACACTCGCACCCACACTCTCACCCACACACTCACCCACACTCACCTACACAACAACAACCGCCATTCGCCACTAAGTGGCGGTGACGTCACCACGACGCTTGTGCCAGGCTATGTGCACCTTGAGGCCACGTGAAGTGTCGAACGCCCACTGGCAGGTCACGGGGCAGACCCAGGTGCCACGCACGGGTTGACTGACTGAGATGACCGAGATGACTCACACACACACACTCACCCACTCACTCACACTCACCCACTCACACTCACCCACTCACACTCACCCACACTCACCCACTCACACTCACCCACTCACACTCACCCACTCACCCACACACACTCACCCACACACACACCCACACTCATCCACACTCACCCACCCACACTCACCCACACACACACACTCACCCACAAACACTCACCCACACTCACCCACACTCACCCACACACACTCACCCACACTCACACACACTCACACACTCACCCACTCACGCACTCACCCACACACTCACCCACACTCACACACACTCGCACCCACTCACCCACCCACACTCACCCACACACTCACCCACACTCACCCACCCACACTCACCCACACACACACACTCACCCACAAACACTCACCCACACTCACCCACACACACTCACCCACACTCACACACACTCACACACACTCACCCACTCACGCACTCACCCACTCACGCACTCACCCACACACTCACCCACACTCACACACACTCGCACCCACTCACCCACCCACACTCACCCACACACTCACCTACACTCACCCACACTATCCCACACACACCCACACACCCTCACCCACACACACCCACCCACCCTCACCCACACACAACAAAGACAGATCCCCCCCTCCCAGCTCTGACGCGTGCAGCCACTCATTACTGCAATTAGCGGAGCTCATTACGGGAATAAGCGAGCAGAAGTGTGACGGTGGTGGTGGCGGTGGTGGCGGTGGTGGTGGTGGCGGTGGTGGTGGCGGTGGTGGCGGTGGTGGTGGAGATCTGCCACACTCGCCGGGAGTTGACTGGCGGTGTGGTAGCGACCGTGTGATGATTGGCACCGAGATGAAGAGTTGTATGGCATATGGTGATGATGGCAATCATCGCCATCGTTAGGAGGCGTTCTCAGTCCACGAAGGTAGTCGAGGCGAGGTGCACTTCGGAGATGGAGCGATGAAATCGGCTCCCCCGTGGACACCTGCTGGGTAGATTGTGGCATCGCGGAATCGTGAGCGGTGGTGGTGGTGGTGGCTTGAAGAGGCCTTCGTCTAGCAGTGGATCGAGCAGAATGCTGCTGCTGCTGATGATGATGATGATGATGCTGCTGCTGATGATGATGCTGCTGCTGATGATGATGATGACGGACGAGGTGTTTTGCGTCCGCAGCAGCGGCTCCCAACCCGTAGGGTCGAAAGTGTTTCGGGCGGAGCAGGCTGCGGCGTGGATACCGTGCGGGACAAATGTTTTAGAGAAGCGTGCGCGAGGAAATGTCAGCGCCACGTTGCGGTGACAACACAAATCGATAAACACAAAGTGAAAACTTCACAGCCTGACTCACACGCACTCACACACAACGTGAAACACTGAACCTTACTGTCACATACCGCAAACGAACCCCCACCACGTTAATAGATCGCATGGCGGAGCGTTGTCAGAGAGCAGGTCTGGGTTTTGGGCAGGGTGGCGTCGTGGTGACACTTGCGTCTCAGAGCAAGAAGCGCCCGGGTTCGATCCCCGACGGTATGGAGTTTGCATGTTCTCTCAACGTGTTCTGCAGTGTGAGTGTTGTGTGAGAATGAGTGGAGTGTGTATGTTCTCCCCCTGTTCTGTAAACTGTGTGTGAGTGAGAGAGGGTGTGATTAAGTGAGTATGAGTGAGTGTGAGAGGGAGTAGAGTTTATCTCTTCTCTTTCTCCGTTCTGGAGTGTGAGTGTGTGTGAGGTGGAGCATCAGCCAGTAACAACGACAGACTGTAACAACTACAGGGGCATCTTACTTCTCAGTGTGCCGGGAAATGTCCTGGTAAGGATTATTTAACATCGCCTTGCCAGGCACGCTGAGGAGAGGCTTGCTGAGCCCCAATGCGGTTTCAGGAAAGGGCGGTCCTGCACAGATGCCATATTTTCTGTCCGTCTGCTGCAGCAGAGGTGTAGGGAATTCCAACAAGACTTACATCTCTGCTTTATTGATCTGGTCAAGGTCTTTGATACCATCAGTAGGCCTAGGTTCTGGGTTATTATTTGCGCTTTCGGAGTCCCTGACCCACTGCTCACGATCATTAAGGATCTTCATGATGGTGAGCGGGTCCGGGTAAAACTACGTGGCCCGGAGTCGGAGCCATTCCCTGTTCACCTTGGGGTGCGACGGGGATGTCCTCTGGCTCCCACATGGTTTAACACTTGACTAGAGCCCGTCCAAGGACGGGTGTATTGCAGTAAATCTGAAAGATTCGAGCAAAAAGCAGACTGCGACATCATATTCATTGAATCCATTCGTTTGCAATTTGTAAGGCCGCGGTGACACAGACTTTTTAATTTAAAGGTTATAATCCCTTGTTCATCACGACGTCCTTTTAACTTCGATGTCTCAACAGCGTTGCGGAGATCGCGTGACGTGAGGGTTCTGCCTTTGTAGTGAGGGCTGTGAGTTGACGCGGAGAAGGGGGGAGTAGGCATCTCCGCCTCCCCCATGTGGAGTTACGTCACCTGCTCATGATTATTAATGAGGGGGGTCCATTTGGAGGACGTCACCTGCTCATGATTATTAATGAGGGGGGGTCCATTTGGAGGACGTCACCTGCTCATGATTATTAATGAGCGGGGCTGCTCGACGTGGAGTGACGTCACGCGCGTAACGCACGGACATTATTTTAGTAATCTATTTCGACCACATAGTTCGTGAAGCCTTCAATAGCTGTACCGGAGGAATTTCCATCTGGTACAGATACAGTGGGAGGCTGCTCGATGCCCAGGGGCGGTCAAGGGATGGCTCTCTATTACTCAACCATGTGATGTATCCCGATCTGGTAATTGCTGCTCATTCAGAGGAGGAGTTGGAGGCACTGCTGCTGAACCTGAAGCATGCCACTAAGAGGTGGGGCCTTACCATCAGCCCCACCAAAACTAAGCACCTGCCTGGTTATTTTGTACCATCGGACACTCCACCCCCACAACTCCCAATTGGTGATAGGGCAGTTGTGGAGAGAGTGGAGAATTTCCCACACCTGGTTAGTGTGCTTATGACCGGCTCTGGTTTGACAGCAGAGGTCTCACTCTGAATCAGTCGAGCTGCAATATCTTTTCATCGGTTGCGTTACGCTGTGTGGAAGATACCTGGTTTGTCGCTCCGCACGAAGCTTCAGGTCTTCTCGGCCACAGTCATTCCCTTTCTTCTCTACGCTTATGAAACGTCGACCCCCCAATGGAACATCTTCGCCGGCTAGAAACATTTAGGCTGGTCTGCCTTCGATCCATCCTGGGTTTAACCAGGCTGGATTGTGTGAGGAGCTCACAAATCCTTGAAAGATCTGGACAAAGTTCCATCGGTGAGCTCCTCCGACAGGCAAGGCTGCGTTGGATGGGTCATGTAGCCCGCATACCCAGCCACCGCATGCCTAAACAGCTTTTGTTCGGCCGGATTGAGGTGGCTAAACGGGCGTGGTACGGGTTAGAGAAGAGACGGAGTGATTTGGTGCAAGAGGATGTGTAGCTGAGTGGACTTGCCGATAACTGGTACCAGCGGTGTCAAGATCGGCCTCTGTGGAGGAGGCTCGTGAAGGACGCTACTGGGCAGTTGGAGGCAGTCGCCCTCCAAAAACAACGGAGGGTGGAGGAGCAATGCTCACAACAACGAGCGAGAGCGACGGGTGGCTAAAGCACAGCAAGTTGGCACAGTAGGAGGCACAGATGGTGCATTAGCCAGTCATCTCAGTCATCTCAGTCGACCCGTGACATCCCGCCAGTGGGCGTTCGACACTTCACGTGGCCTCCAGTGCACATAGCCTGGCACAAGCACCGTGGTGACGTCACCGCCACTCAGTGGCGAATGGCACTTGTTGTGAGTAGAGTCTGTCTGTTCTCTCCCCCCGTTCTGCAAGGATATCCTCCGGGTTCTCCGGTTTCCTCCCCATCGCTAAAAACAAATCTGTAACCGGCATTGGTGACAAATCCCAATGCTGAACTCTGACCCGAAAATCACTCACTCGGGATCACACACGGCAAGGCAACATCGACCCCCCTACTGCGAACATGTGGCAGGACCCTCCCGAAAATAAGTCTTGAGACTCCGGGGAGGCTTTCCTGGGTAGCAGCAGCGCAATCTCGCCTCTCGAGCTGAGAGGGCTGACCATGCGTGACAGCGCAGCATGGCTTGAGCACAAGAATGGCGAGGCAGGGCTGGGCAAGGAGCCATTGCGCTGACGAGACGGCCAGACAGGAACCGACCGCACCCAGTCTCTGGCTAAATCGGAACATGAGCCTCATCATCACCACCACCATCACCGTCAACTGCAGCAGCAGGGACGACGTAGTAATAGTCATCATAATCATCATCAGGCGGAGCCTCCATTGGCATCAGCAGAGAGTCGGCGTGGTGCAGCTGGGTTCATGAGTAACTCTCTCCACGCGACACGGGGCGGTGGCGAGCAGGGAGAC